TTGCCTCTGTAACTAGTGAGTTCTCTGCCTTCCCACTTGAAGTGACAAGAAGCAACATGTTCACTTTGAGTTCATCCTCTAATGTTTTCCCTTCAAACAAACGTAAACATTTCAGAATATCCCCTAGTGCCCATTTTCATCAATCTTAGGAATTTCTACACACTTATTATCTAGTTGCATTATAAGCACATCAGCAGACTTCCTGAGAATTCTGTGACAATATTTCACACATAGTCTGTGGCTCATAAAATGAGTGAGTTAATCATGTGTCAGCCCCAACAAATGTTTAGCTCATTAACATCGCTGTGTGAATAGCCTTTGTGCAATTTAAGGGCTAGAGTTTGTTCTTCTTTCTAGCGCCTCACTGCCGCCCTCTTGTGGTGCATGTACAGCACAAGCAGAAGAGCTACCATTTGGAACTATTTCACTTTTAATAAAAACAAAAGTGGCACTCTGCAGAACAAAAAAAGATCAAACAAATTACAAGACAGTCATGACCCATGACTTTTGTGAAACATGAGAATAATGTTGCACGCCACTCTTCTCAATCCATTTCAGGCAAAACTCACTGGTCTCTTCTTTTTTTTTTTTTTTTTTTTTAAAGTTTTTCTTTTCTTTTTTTTTTTAAGATTTATTTATTTATTTATACAAGCACTGGGTACAGGCAGAAGCACGGGAGGGCGAGAGGATTCACCAGAGCCAGAGCGGGGAACAGAACAGGCAGGATGAAGAAATACACTGCTGAGGGGAGCAGCGGGCGCAACAGGAGAGGTCTGTGTGCCATGTGGGACCCTCACCGGTGGCTGGGGATCGAACTGGCACTGCAGAGGCTGTGGGCAGCTTCACAGCCCAGTGCTCAACCGCTGCGCCACCAGGGGAGGCCCTCACTGGTCTCTTCTAATTTCATTACAGGGAAAAAAAAAAAACCTTCCACTAAAAAAAAAAACAAACCAAATCCACTATCTCAAAATCTGATGCTTCAATACAGCACTGATATAAATGACACACCGGTATCCTCTCTGGAGTACTATGAAACCAAGTTAGTGTGAACAGCAAAGCAGAGCATGCTTCAACTGCTTGAAATTGCTGAGAGTGTTTCAGAATAACTATGCATATGAAAGGGATATTGGTCATCCAGAAGGGCATTATATGCCCAGGATATGGTCCTTCAGTTGCAGACAATGGTTCTGAATACACACATGGTATGAGACCACTGTTGTTAGGACGCCTGCCTTATTCTCACTTCTCGACAGTGGGCGGAATCCTGCCAACTCTCCTTAACATGGTCTCAGCTCTCCTGTGTCCCTTGCTGCTACCTGATCCTGGTCCTCTCCATCCCCAGTGCAGACCACCAGCCTCCAGAATGGCTTCCCCATCTCCTGTCTCTTGCCCTGAGGTCACGGCTAGACAGCTTCTTAAAAAGCAGGAACGAGGGAGGTGACCCATATGGCAAGCAGAACTCTTCTGTCTCGGCCCCTGCTCCCCACAGCAGTGTATTTCAGTCAATCTGCCTGTTCTGTTCCCCACTCTGTCTCTGGTGAATCCTCTCACCCCCCCATACCTCTGGCCTTACCCCAGTTCTTGAATGCATATATAAATCTTCAAAAAAAGACCAACAAAGTGTTTTTAACCAATACAACTGGGAGTCACTCTTTACTATTTACTCTGTATAAATCACATTTATACTTAGTATAAATTACAGTATAAATACTCTGACATGGCTCAACATAAATTTTTTTTCATCATTATTATTATAGTATCTAAAGTATACACAGGTCACCTAGTTTGAGGCACAAATATTTTCTCATCTTTTAATTGTAATTCTAATGAGCATTTTCCACTACATGTCATTGTACAGTATGTTTACAAAGTATCTGAATAAAAAACAAATAATGATTATTTTTAATGGGATAAATGCAATGTTATGTAAGAAAAAGCAGAATATAAAACTGCTCCTACAGTGTGAGGCAACTGTGTGAAAAAAAAAAAAAAATCATTGAAAAGTCATGATTTTTTTTCCAAAAGTAGAAAAAAATCCACCCTAAAATTCATATAAAATCTCCAGGGAGCCTAAATAACCAAAGCAATGCTGAAAAAGAACAAGGTTAGAGGTCTCACACTTCCTGATTTTGAAACTTGCTATAAAGCTACAGTAATCAAAACAGTGTTATACCAACATAGACAGATATGTAGACCAGTGGAATAGAATGGAGAACCCAGAAACAGTCTATCTGTGGCCAAACGATTTTCAAGCAGAATGCCAAGATCATGCGACTGAGAAGGCAATCTTTTCAATCAACAGTGCTGGGAAGGCCTCCCTGGTGGCGCAAGGGGTTAAGACAGAGCACTATGAAGTTATCGACAGCCACTGCAGCACGAGTTCTATCCCCAGGCAGGAAGGTGACCCACATGGTGCAGCAGACCTCTCCTGCTGCACTGCTCCCCTCAGCTGTGTATTTCAGTAGATCTGACTGTTCTGCTCCCCCCTCTGTCTCTGGGGAATCCGCTCACCCTCCCGTGCCTCTGGCCTATACCCCAGCTCTTGTATAAATAAATAAAATCTTTTAAAAAAAATTTATTGGGCCTCCCCAGTGGTGCAGCGGGTTGAGCGCAGCACTGTGAAGCTGTCTGCAACCTCTGCAGCACCAGTTGCTGCTCCCCTCAGCAGTGTATTTCGGTCATCTGCTGTTCTGCTCCCCACTCTGTCTCTGGTGAATCCTCTCACCTTCCCGTGTCTCTGGCCTGTATAAAAATACAGCTCTTGTATAAAAATAAATAAATCTTAAAAATAAAAAGATTTATTTATTTTGCATACAAGAGCTGGGGTACAGGCCAGAGGTGTGGGGGGTAGGTAGTGAGATGAGGAGCAGGGGACAAGACAGGAGAAATCTGCCTTGCCATGTGGGTATCTCCCTGGCCAGCAAGGAATCGAATCAGTGCTGCAGAGGCTGCAGACAGCTTCATAGCACTGTTCTCAACCCGCTGCACCACCAGGGAAGCCCAATAAATAAATCTTTAAAAAAAAAAAAAAAGTGCTGGGGAAACTGGACATGCAGGTACAAAAGAATGAGGTTGGACCCTTACCTTACACCATAAATAGAAATTAGCTAAAAAATGTAAGAGCTAAAACTATAAACCTCTTAGAAAAAATAACAAACAGAAATAAAGCTTCACAACACTGGATTTCATACTGACTTCTCAGCTATGACACCAAAAGCTCAAGGAAGAAAAGAGGAAATCGATCAACCAGATGACATAAAAAATTATAACTTCTAAGTATCAAACAACACAATAAACAGAGAACAGAGGGAACTCATGGACTGGCAACAAATATCCACACATCATAATCTGACAAGGAGTTAATATCCAGCATATATAAAGAATTCCTATAATTTAATAATAAAAATCCAAATAATGTGATTAAGAAAAGTCAAAAGGCTTAAACAGACATATCTCCAAATGCCTAGTAAGTACATAAATAGATGGTCAAGAGCCTCCCCTGGTGGTGCAGCGGTTGAGTGCTGGGTTGCGAGGCTGCCCGCAGCCTCTGCAGCGCCAGTTCGATCCCTGGCCACCGGCAAGGGTCCCACCCACCCACACACACACACACACACACAAATAGATGGTCAATAACACCAATAACTAAGGGAGTAGAAATAAAACTACAATGAGATACTACTTCATACCCTTTAGGATGGCTATTATGAAAAAATGAAACAAAGAGTAAAATGACAAGAGTAAGCAAGGATGTGAAGAAACTGAACTCCTTGTATGCTGTGGATGAGTATATAAAATAGTGCAGCAGGTGTGGAAAATGGTGTGTCTGCTGTTCAAAAAATGAAAAATAAAACTACCATATGATTTGGCAATGGTGTTTATGAGTACATACCCAGAAGAACTGAAAGCAGGGACTTGAAGAACTATTTATACAGCCATGTTCATAACAGTACTATTTCCAACGGCTAGAAGGCAGATGCAACCTAGGTGCCCGTACACTGATGACTAGACACACAAAATGTGGCACAGACATACAATGGAATACTACTCACTCTTAAAAAAGGAAATGTTGCAAATGCTACAACAAGGATGAATTTTGAGAACATTATATTAAGAGAAATAAGGCAATCCCACAAGGACAAATATTGCCAGATTCCATTTACATGAGATAGCTGGTGGAGTCAGTTTCATAGAGAAGAAGGTAGAAAAGTGAGTTCCAGAAGCTAGGAGAAGGGAGGTACAGGGAGTTGTTGTTTAATGGGACAGACGTTCAGTTTTACAAAATAAAAATAATTCTGTGGATGGAAGGGAGTGATGGTAGCACAAGAAAGTGAGTGTAAACTGTGCACTTAAAAATGGCTAAGATGGTACATTTCACATATATTTTACCAAAATCTAAGTCATCGAGGAACAGTCCGAAGTAAATACACCAAAAATATTAAGAGTAGTGGGCCTCCCCGGTGGCGCAGCGGTTGAGCACTGGGTTGCAAAGCTGCCAGAATCCTCCATGGCACCAGTTCGATCCCTGGCTGCTCCCCAGCGACCAGAGGAGGGTCCCGCATGGCGCGCAGACCTCTCCTGCCGCCCGCTGCTCCCCTCAGCAGTGTACTTCGGTCCTTCTGCCTGCTCTGCTCCCCGCTCTGGCTCTGGTGAATTCTCTCACCCTCCCGCGCTTCTGCCTGTACCCAGTGCTTGTATAAATAAATAAATAAATCTTAAAAATATATATTAAGTGTAGTAGTTTTTTAAAATTCCCCCCTTTTCACATTTTCTGTGACTATGCATAACTATATGATTAAGAAAAAAGTAACTTTTTGACCACTACAAATTACAAGTTTTATTTATAAGGCATTCAATACTTGGCTTCTTTTCCCTAGTCCCTTTTATATTTACATAATATTATGCTTTAAGGAAAAATCATATTCTGGGTAATACATACTGATGCAAAATAATCATTTTTAAGAAAAGATAACTTGATTGAAAATTTTTATATGAAATCTTACCCAACATCTGTGTTCATTAGATTTCAATCCATTCCTGATTCAGAAGAACTTTCTGGTGAGGAAAAAAAAAAATACACTGAAGACTTTATTAAACAAGAGGCTAGACATAATGGAATGATTTCCACTTTTTATTTCCTGCAGCACGTAACAAGCATTGCTGCATCCTTATTAGTAGAAACAGGGAGAAGAGGGCCTCCCTGGTGGCACAAGGGGTTAAGCACCGCACTGTGGCGCAGTCTGCAGCCTCTGTAGCACGAGTTTGATCCCCGGCCAGCCAGAGAGCAACACACATGGCGAAGCAGACTTTTCCTGTCTCACCCGCTGTTCCCCTCAGCAGCGTATTTCATCAGTCTGCCTGTTCTGCTCCCCGCTCTGTCTCTGGTGAGATCCTCTCATCCTCCCACGCCTCTGGCCTGTACCCCAGCTCTTGTATGCATAAATAAACAAATCTTTAAAAAAAAAAAAAAAAAGAAACAGGGAGAAGAAATCAGAGGAAAATCCCATTTCTGAGTTCCAAGTTCCAAAAGAGAGCAGAGAGGTGACAACTGGCATCAGCTTGCTCCATCACTTGAGATACACAAGGAGGAAGAGTGTCACACAGAGGAGATCAGACTCTGTCCCAAGTGCCAGGGGGCAAATCTCTTTCCTCTGCCCTCCCCACTTAAAAGGAGGAGGAGGTTTTAAATCTCTCCTTAGACTTTTGAAACAACTTAGCCAGAATAGACAGAAACCTGATTGTCAGAGGTCTAAACTCCCCCAGGTGATAATATCTGATTGTTCTGTTAGGAAGAAAAGAGACTGTGAAAACCTTCAGGTTGACACATTGTCACTTAAGTTCGAAAATTTTCATTCACTTCAATTTAAAAATGAATTGATTACTTTGGGGTATTCCCAGACAGAGGGGATCCACTTAGTTATTTACACAAGAACTTCACTTGTAAAGTGGGTAGTAATAATAGTCAGGGTTTATCCCATGTTAAAAATGACAACACACAAATTAATAAGGTCTGGGTGTGTAATGTGCTGAGTGGTGACTACAATTAACAGTCCTGTATTATTTACTTAAAAGTTGCTAAGAGAGCAGATCCTAAAAGTTTTCATCACAAGAAAAAAATGTGTAAATTAGAGGAGATGGATGGTTTAGGTTTACTTACAAGAATTATTTTGCAATGTGGACATACATGAAATCGTGTCTATTTTAAAGTAATACAATGTTGTATGTCAATTATATCTCAATAAAACTGGGGGGGATAAATATTTAAAATATATTTAAAAAATAACAATATGTTACATTTCACAGTATTTTACATTTTCCAACTATCCTGAAAACTCTCTTGTGGGCAGCTTGAGAGATTCTCTCACTCCTGGCACCTCTTCCCCTGGTTATGCATAATCAGCTCCTGTCTTTCATGGCTGTGGGACCTGCTTCCAGCTTCTTTGTTTAATCTGCACACTCCTTGCTCAGTCATTGAATCTCATGCTTTCATTCACAACCCTCTTTGTTGCTGTCCTCGGCCAACTCCCACGGCACTTGGCTTGCTCCAAACCACTCCTATTCTAGATTTCAATAATTACATAGTGACAGGACTCTGTGCCTTGAAATCCTTTCTTGCAAAGATCTTTTCCTTCACCCCACCTCAGTGATTCATTCCCATGACCGCAGAGCCAACAATTTACTACCCAAAACATGCATTGTTGCAAATTCTCAAATTTATGTATCCCAGTCTGTCCCCCCACTATCTTATCCCCCAAATCCAACAATCCTACCAGCCCGCCCAACTGATAATCCACTAAACCCATCACCTTTGCATGTCCCCTCACCCCCTTGAGGTCCTCTCTTCCCTCGCTCTCTTTACATTCCACCATCAATTATGACCTTCCTTGACTACACACATTGTTGATTCCCTTGCTTTTAATATGTGCATGTCAAAATTATAACTCTAGCTAAATTCAACTTTCACACAATCGAACCATATTGAGGGGGTAACAAATTTCTAATTGCTCTTACTTAAATTTCTAACTTGGAAGCAGGCAATGCCATTGGGCGTTTGGCATCCACTCCCCTCCCCTCTCACGGATGCCTCCTCCACAGGTGCTCTCTCCTCCTCCATGCTCAGCAGGTGGAAGAGGATTTCCATTGGTCCCAGCTACCTCTACCACCAGCTGCACCCTAACTCTGCTGTCCCACCTGGGAGCAGGGATGCACCACCCAGCATCTCCTGGAAAACCAGCCACTACATTCCTACTTAATCAGCCACCCCTCTTCCTACTTAACCCCATGGATACAGTTTTTCCCTCTCTTCTTTGTTGCTTACATCACCAAGTTTTTGTTCTCCACTGGCACATTCACGTCACTTGGCACCTATGCCATGATTTCTTCTATCTGAGAAGAAAAATCTCTTGATTTCCCATTTATCAGTAGCTATTGCCCTTGGCACCAAAACTCCTTGCAAGAATTGTTTCTGCTTGAGCTTCCAAACTGTTCCCATCTTCTCTCGAATGCATCACAGTCAGACTTTTGCTCCATACTGCACTGAAACTGCCCTTGTCTGCAAAATGCAACAGATATTTCTCACTCCTCATCTGAGTTGACCTACTAATAGCACATGGTGCTGAGCTGTCCTCCTCTGTTGTCCTCCTGGACACCACACTCTTGGTTTTTCTCCTATCTCACTGGTCACTCCTCTGCCTCTCGGCTGGCCCCCTCCTCTCGTAGGACCCCTTAATGTTGTGAGGGGCAAAGACTCTGCCTCTAGCCCTCTTCTCCATCCAAATGCATTTCTTGGTGATTTTATGCCAAGAATTCACCATTTCTTGGTGATTCATGGTTTCCAATACATATATTGATTGACAACCAACACATTTCTCTCTCAAGTCCACACCTCTCTTGAACTTTTCAGATACATAGTTTAATTATTTGATACCTGCACTTGCATATCTGATTATCACATTCTGATGTGCCCACACTGAATTCCTAATCCACCTGAATTTCTCCAGCTTCCCAGGAGAGTAAGTGCAAGACCAGTTGTGAGACGAGCTGTACATCTGGAGACTGAGTACAAATGGGGCAATGTGGAGTCTACCTGGTGTCCACCCACCACTCATGTCTACTGAGGATGGACAAAGGGCTTCAAATGCTTCCAATTAAATGACCTGCAACACTGGGAAGTGTGCATCACACATGATTCATTAATTTCTCAGGAAAGGCGCTGTCCACTTAGAGTTTATTATTCTTCACAATAAATTGGGGTGTGACTCAGGGAATAAACTTTCTGGGTAAGGACACAGTATTCTGGAAAATGATGGCTTGTCCCACCAACCTTTAATCAAGGCTATTTAAAAGGGAAGGAATAACAGGAAACATGATGAGGCTCTAAACATTTTCTTTAGGGAAAAGAAAGCCAGTTCTGAATGGAAAGGTTTTTGTTCACAATTTTGCGGGGGCTTTGGTGCTTATACCCTAAAGGAGAAAGTACCCCAGCGACTAGATGTTCTGGGGTTGAGAGCCTTCCAGGAAGAGTAAACAACATGATACATCTGGAGCTGTAGTAGGAGGATACAACAAAACTAATACAAGTACAGTAAGTATAGACACTAATGACTCTTGGTTATGGGGATCCATTAGAATGAGAAAACAGTTAGGAAGCTCACATCTCAGGCAACGTTTCCTTTGCCGTTTTACCATATTACACACTGACTGTGATATTTTTATTTCCTTAAAATCAATAGTAAGTGGGCTCACTCTCTTTCAACTGCATCTTCCTGAGCAGTATTATCCATGCAATCATAGGTGTTATAAGCTAGTTTTAATTCATATGAAATTAATAAAACATAACTCAAAATGTCAAAGTTGGACATGGCCTATCTAAAATCAATAGTTTATATATTATCCTTGGGGAAAAATGTCTTAATATGTAACTGATGTTTAAACTATTTCATTTCTTTTTATTCTACAAACATAGAAGAATGATAGCACCAGGTAGTATTCCTACATTAAAATCTATCTATCCCACAGAAGCCCATAAACAAAGTAAATGACAACATCCTACAAAAACTAGATGTTATTGTGAATAACAAGAAACAAGGTTTCTTGGGCCTCCCCTGGGGGCACTGGGGTTGAGCGCAGCACTGTGAAGCTGTCTGCAGCCTCTGCAGCGCCGGTTCAATCCCGCCTGGCAGGTGAGGGTCCCACATGGCGCAGCAGACCTCTCCTGTCTCCCCTGCTGCTCTCCTCAGCAGTGTATTTCGTCAGTCTGCCTGTTCTGTTCCCTGCTCTGTCTCTGGTGAATTCTCTCACCCTGCCCGCGCATCTGGTCTGTACCCTGGTGCTTGTATAAATAAATAAATCTTTAAAAAAGAAAAGAAACAAGGTCTTCCCTGAGACACAGGCAACAAACACGCTAACAAAAATATGGAATGAGTTTTACCCCCAAAGTTTGAATGCACATTCTTGTAAAAAGTTCACCAACCCCCAAACACTTAAAATTTCAGGAGAGAAAAGTATTTACAATGAAAATGTTATGCTGAAAAATCATCAGTCTCTGAAATAGATTGAGGGACAGTAAATATAGTTCATCTGCTATGTTCAGAGGGAAGGAGTCAGTGAAATTCTTTCCAAGTGGAAGAAGAAGAGGCATTTCTGAAACATTTCAAAATGGACACATTATTAGGAAGGGAACCTCCAGCTTCTAAACCAAATAGAGATGCTAACAGTGTAATCCCAATAGAAAAGGGAGGTTTCCTGCCCTACCCAAGGAAGGGTGGAGCTGAGCAGGGAAGAGAAAGAAGAAAAGACCGGGAGGACTTGGGAGAAGAGGAAAGAGAGACTGGAGGAGGCATGTGGAGGAGAGACATGTGAAGCAGCAGCCCCACCTGCTTCTTGGCCTTGGGACTTACACCAGGGATTTGGGGGACATGGAACAAGACATTTGGAAGAGACATGGGTAAGAGACCTGCGGGGAGGCTGACAATGGCAGCCTTGATCTTGATTTGTATTTTGATTTTGTTCTTTTTCCTCCAGACTTATCTGTCCCCCTCTGGCCCTTTCCTATCTTTCCCCACCAGAAGGTGCCTTAGACTTGTGACAGGCTTTTGGGCCTCAGTGGCCATGTTTTGGGCCAAGCCTGTTTGGTTGGGCATTTACCCAGGAGGGGATGGGTAACTTTGGGTGTTTCATGGGGAAACTTTTAACTATATTCTTTCTCATCTCTTCTCTCTACTGCACACTGATTCTACTAAAGCTCTTTTCCATTGAAGGTCTTACACACTAAGAATATGTTTGTCTTTAAGTGGCAGAGGGCAGAACCCATTCAGAGCAGGCAGGTTTGGGGGTTAAGGGGTACCCTTCATTCTGCCCAATTAACAAGATCACACAGCACTTACATAGCTCAACATGTAAGACCTGCTCATTTCATAGTATTATTTTATGTTAGACATTATACTATCCATCATGATGTACCTGCGGCTTTTCTTAAAATTTTAAATATGTATTTTTTAATTTTAAAGTAATCTGACTCCCTACTTAAGTAAGCAGAAGATGCTATTAAATTCTACTGTCTTCTTGGGGGAAGAATTGGGAAGACTCATCTTAGACACAAAAAAGACATTTGAAGAAGGAAAGTAAATTAGTGCTAGAATAATTTTAAGGATTTTGTTTCTCTTTAGGCTACAGGTGACAGGGTTTGGAAGGAAGTGGTAGGCAGAGATAAGTACATGATTTGGGGAAGTTTATTCAAAGATTTGACTTGGCATTTGAATTAGGAGTGTCTCTCCCAAGAGTAAATTAGCTTATACTGACCTCTATCCAAAATCATGCATGCCACACAGATGTGTAATTTGCTGCCACACCACCTAGACTTAGAGACACACAGCTTCTGTGGCATCATTATTACTGCTCTATAAAGCTCAGTAGAACTTGAGATCAAGGAGAGAAGAGGAAATCACAAGAGCATGAAGACTATGCAGAAGACTCACAGTCACACTTGCTTAGCAAGCGAGGAGTAAGGAATAAGAGTGTTCTTGCATGAGGTACCAACCAAGCCAAAGCAGATATTGTTTCTTAGAAGGTTCTAGCTGCATTAAGTGAAAAACAAAAGGCAGAGAGGGAGGAAGATAGAAAATTTTACATACAGAGATGCCACTAGGTTGTAGTTTCAAGTCCTCCTTCCTCTTCCTGTTTCTGCTCCCTCTTGTAAATCCCAAAGTACTCCAAAGGCTTTAATTTGGAATTTTCCAAAGTACTCTGAAGTTCTGCTTTCAAATGCTGGAATTTCTGAATGGCAGGACTCTGTTTTGCAGAGAAACACAAAGGAATTTAATTTTTCCAGACACTTTCTACATAATGCTTCTCCACTTTGAGAACTTGTCTCAATACATCCCATTCAGGGAGGGTAAATGTACTCTTAGTTTTCTGTATCCTAGCAAAACCATGGAGGACACCATAAAAGTGACAGCTTCTGTCATCACTTCCTAGCACTCCAGGTAAAACTTCCAGAGTTAGTATTTTAAATAAGTAATCCCAGCTCCTTTAATGCTTTAATCAAACCTCATTCCAATGACAAATAAAGCCAGGTGTTCACCAACTGGTCTAGCAAGCTCTATGACCTAAGAACTGAGTTATTAAAACTTTCTGAAGAACTGGTTCCTTCCCCTCTCTTTGCAATAATGTCAGTTTACTGTCGTACAAAAGGTTTTAAAAGGGCAAATATTCTTAGCATTAAAGTCATTTAAATGTAAACAAGACCAGGAGGTGGAAACAGGGTCACAATTTAGAAAAAGCATTCCTTCTACTTTATGCCAGCTTTTGTACCCACACCTACTGCATTTTGTCATTAAAAGGCTGACACTTACCTTTCACTCAAAGAAGAAGAAAACACTTTAAGATCAGCAAGTCTATCTTGGAAAAAAGTAAACTAACATAACCCCCCTGAAACATACTATTTCTCATAAACAGCTTGGGTTTCAGGAAGCAGAAGCTCGAAAGCAAACAAAGCTTGTCACTGTCTCAGATGATCGTTGTGTAATTCAACTCCCGGACTTGCTGCAATTTTGCACATAAGACACGCCCTTTTAGGAATTGCTTTGGTGAAAGGTATTCTGGGAGTTGTATTACTACAGAAAAGTTCCTCCACTTCATGAAGCTACAAGAAAACTCCTTAATTTGCCTTAGTCACAATGAAGAGTCACTTCTCTGAGAGCCAAGAATATAATGGAAGTGAATATGACGTTTTAACTTATTGCCAGCAACTCAGGTCAGAACACCACTCAGCTTTCATCTACTTTATAATACACAGCAGAAGTGAGCTGGTGGTCACAAGGGCACAGATATTACCAGGCTTATTTCAAGTGAAAAATGAAGTCAGAATTTTTCTTATAGGAAGTCCAATTAGGCTGGTTGGCTGGGCAGTGAGGGCTGTCTTATTGCGAGACATGGTAGACACTGTCCTTCAGTTCAACAATCTAAATCTGCAGTTCCAAATTTTGACAATTTAAAGTGCATGAAATGATTTTTAATGGTTAATATTTTATTGGAAAAGTTATTGAAGTCAAATCATATTTTAACCTTCTTAGTTCTTTCTGAGCCTGCTACCGTAAAGAAGGGTCTTTGCAGGTAGAGTAAAAGATGTCATTAGTAATAATTTGATTAAGTCTTAGTAAAGACTTTTTGGCATATTTTCCAGAACTGAGAAAGTGAATGACTGTAATAACTGGGTGACAAATCCTTTGGCAAACTGGATGGCTTCCAACTCTGCTTACCAACAAAATAGAAAAAGGAAATACTCAAAATATTCAGCCACTAGACAACTGAAAACTTTTTCATGACCACTATGTATTTCTTAATATATTATCTTAGAAGAAGTTCAAGTAATCAAACATTTGATTCAAACAAAACTCTATATGAAGAGTTTTTCTTCTCCATTTTTTAAAAAGATTTATTTATTTATACATACAAGAGCTGGGGTACAGGCCAGAGATGGGAGGAGTGAGAGGATTCACCAGAGACAGAGTGGGGAACAGAACAGGCAGACTGACTAAAACACACTGCTGAGGGGAGCAGCGGGCGAGCCAGGAGAGGTCTGCTGTGCCATGTGGGTTGCTCCCTGGCTGGCTGGGGATCGGACTGCTGCAGAGGCTGTGGATTGCTTCATAGCTTAATCCCTTGCGCCACCAGGGAGGCTCTTCTCCGTTTTTCTAGAATGTGTTAATTCTAGCTATCAATTACATTCATCTGTGACTAATTGATTTTTGTAACGAATGCATTTCCACAAAATTTTGTTTTATAGCTATTCATCATTTTAAAAATCAATTATGAATTAATAGTATTTGCAATACATAATACAATATTTAAAAATTTTAATAAAATTTATGACTAGAGGAAATAAAGATGCTTATTTTCAGTATTCACATGTTTTCATTGTAATAATAAAGGATTAAAAAACTTGCAAGGCTAAAAACTACCTAATATAAGGGCAACATTCTATGGAATTGGAAATGGAAACTTAAGGAATAAAAAAAGGAATATAAAATTTCTAATTGTTAAACCTGTACATGTAGAAATATTAGTAATGGAGGCATCAAACCACTAGCATGTATCATTTTCACAAGACACATTTGGAAGAGTTATTCAACATTAGATTTAGACCCTTTGCAACAACTTAGTTATGATAAAAGATGAATATCCATTTAATAACTTGAGTTATTGTTTTTATAAAATTCGGTGAGGGTAGGTGAGTAAAAATGTTAGAAATTGAGTGTTTTGGGGGAGAACTGGGAGCCTGACTTATGACATTATTAAGGTTTCTGTCATTAAGAAGTTTGGACATGTCACGGGCACACCCAGGAGATTATTTTGGGTTCAGTTCTAGACCTTGGAAATATAGCAATAAAGTGAGTCACATGACTATTTTGGTTTCCCAGTGCATACAGAAGTGGTGTTTACATTATAAGTAGCCTATTAAATATACAATAGTACTATATATCTTGAAAAAAAAAAAAAAACATGAATAGGGGTCTCCCTGGTGGCACAGGCAGCTGAGTGCCGCACTGTGAAGCTGTCCGCAGCTTCTGCAGTGCAGGTTTGATCCCGGCTGGCCGGCGAGAATCCCACATGGTGCGGCAGACCTCTCCTGCCTCACCCGCTGCTCCCCTCAGCAGTGTATTTCTTCAGTCTGCTTGTTCTGTTGCCTGCTCTGTCTCTGGTGAATCCTCTCACCCTCCCGCACATCTGGCCTGTACCCCGGTTCTTGTATAAATAATAAATCTTAAAACAAAACAAAACAAAACATGAATATTCCTTAATTAAAAATACTTTATTTCTGAAAAATGCTAACCATTGTCTGAGCCTCTGTGAGTCCTAACCTTTTTGCTGGGTAGGCTCTTGCCTTGAGGATGATAGGTGCTGATTCATAAGGGTGGTGCTTGCTGTAGGGGGGGCAGTGGCATTTGAATTTTGTTGCATCAATTGACTCTACCTTTCATGAAAGATTCCTCAGTATTATGTGATGCTAACTGATAGCATCTTACCCACAGAACTTTCTTTCATAATTGGTGTCAATTCTCTCAATCACAGCTATGGCTTTTTCAGCATAAATTTATGTCATATACTCCATTCTTTGTTCTCATTTCAACAGTGTTTTCAGCATCTTCATCAAAAGTAGTTTGCATTTCAAGAAAACATTTTCTTTGTTCATCCACAAGAGGCAACTCCTTGTGTTGGCATGAGACAGCAGCATTCAGTCATATCATTAGGTGCTACTTCCAATTCTAGTTCTCTTGCTCTTTCCACCACATCTGCACTTATTTCAACCACTGAAGTTTTGAACCTCTCAAAGTCATCCAGGAAGGTTAGAATCCAAATTCCTCTTAATGTTTGTAATGGGGAAAAATATCAGAGTGGAGAACAGAACAGGTGGATTTACTAAAAAAAACACTGCTAAGAGAAGTAGTGGGCAAGACGGGAGAAGTCTGTCCCCAATGTTGGATTTGAGGATCTCTTTTATACTGTGTTTTCCTGGGTTTTCTAATTGGGGGCGCCCGTTTGCATCAGTTATATGCTGGGATATCTAGTCTCGGCACTAGCCTTTGGCACAAAAACATGTCTTAGCTCAGCTTCTGCAATCCTGATGCTGAGATGGTTTTTCTGGTCATGGAGTCTTTTGGCCTTGTCCCTGAGGCAACCTTATAAATTATCAATTTATAATTCCAGCCTTCCAAACCTGCCTGCTGGGCCAGGAGTCGGGGCTTAGTTTTTAACCTTATTGAACTGCACCCCGACAATGTTGATAATCTGACCTCTTCCATGAATCATGAATGTTCTTAATGGACTCCAGAATGGTGAATCCTTTCCAGGTCTCCAACTGATTTTGCCCAAATCCATCAGAGGATTCACTATCTATGGGAGCAAATGCAAAATGTATTCCTTAAATAATAAGACTGGAAATTGGAAATGACTTCTGGATCCACGGGCTGCAGAACAATGTGTCAGCAGGCACAAAATCATCTCCCTGTAGATCTTTATCAGGTGCATCGTCAATGAGAAATTCCATTTTGAAAAGAATCCTATTTTCTGAGCAATAAGTCTCACCAGTGGGCTTAAAATATACAGCAACCCATGCTGTAAGAAGATGTGCTCCATGTGCTGAATCCAGGCTTTGTTTGACTTATAAAGCACAGGCAGAGTTAACTCTTCTGTGCTAGCTCTTAGACTTAGCATAAATCTTAAGGGTGCTAGGAGCTTCAGAATGGCAAATGAACACTGGCTTTATAAAGTTGCCAGGTGCACTGATCCCCAACAACTCAGCTGGTCCTTTGACGTTCTGAAGCCAGGCATTGACTTCTTTCTACATATGAAATCCTACATGGTGTCTTCGAGAGGACTTTTTGTCTACAATGAAAATCTAGTGTTTAGTGTAGCCACCTTCATCAATGATCTTAGCCAGATCTTCTGGATAACTTGCTGCAGCTTCTACATCACCACCTCCTACTTCATTCTTAACTTTCCTGTCATGGAAATGGGTTCTTTTCTTAAATCTCATGAACGAAGCACTGCTAGCTGCAAACCTTTCTTCTGCAGTGTGCTCACCTCTCCCAGCCTTCACGGAACTGAAGGGCATTAGGCTTTGACTTCAGGAAATGCTGGGCTACTGTGATCTCTCCAGATCACTCAAGCTTTCTTCATATCAGCAATAAAACTGTTTTGCTTTCTTATCATTAATGTGTTCATCATAGCAGCACTGTTCATTTCCTTCAGGAATTTTTCCTTTGCTTGGCTGTTGAATGTAAGAGACCAGCTTCACTCTGTCTTGGCATTTTACACGCCATCCTCACTATGTCTCATCATTTCTAGGTTTGGGTTTTATTTATTTATTTATGCACACAAGAGCAGGGTTGCAGACCAGAGATGGGGGAGGGGGTGGTGGTGAGAGGATTCACCAGAGACAGAGCGGGGAACAGAACAGGCAGATTGACTGAAATACACTGCTGAGGGGAGTAGCAGGCAACTCAGGAGAGGTCTGCCGCGCCATGTGGGTCAGCTCCCAGGCCGGGGATCGAACTCATGCTGTAGTGGCTATAGATTGTTTTATAGCGCTGCATCTTTTTTTTTTTTTTAAGATTTATTTATCTATCTATCTATTTATTTATTTATACAAGCACTGGGTACAGTCAGAAGCGCGGGAGGGTGAGAGAATTCACCAGAGCCAGAGCGGGGAGCAGAGCAGGCAGAAGGACCGAAGTACACTGCTGAGGGGAGCAGCGGGCGGCAGGAGAGGTCTGCGCGCCACGTGGGACCCTCCTCCGGTGGCCGGGGAGCAGCCGGGGATCGAACCGGTGCCGCAGAGGCTGCGGGCAGCTTCACAACGCAGTAGCGCTGCATTTTAACCCCTTGTGCCATCAAGGAGGCCCCTAGGTTTGGGTTTACAGAGACGTGCGACTCTTCATTTCACTTGAACACTTAGACACCAGCCTATGGTTTCAATTGGACTAATTTGAATATTTTTGTGTCTCAGGGAATAGGGAGGCCTGCAGGTGGGGATGGGAATGGCCAGCCGGTCAGTGGATCAATGAGAACACACAACATGTATTAAGTTGTCATTTTATGCAGGTGCATAAACGGAGGGTGCAGTTTGTGATGCCCTCAAACCACGACAAGAGCAACATCCCAGATGATGCTGATAGACGTAACCAATGATCACGTGCTACTGGGAAAGGGGAGCTGACAGTGTGCTCAGTACAGGGTTCCACAAAACACTCTTGAGAACCTGAGTTCTGTCCACCAGGTGAAAGATACTGCAGCATTAAAGCATTCGGTGTGACCTCTTTCTTAGCAGACTTCTCACTTTGCTCTTCTCAACAAAGCTACGTGTGTGACTATAATGTATGTATAATCATAATGCAATATGAGACAAAATCCAAGCAGTTTGAAAAAGTATGAAAAATATCTGCCCACTGCCAGCTTCTGCCCTCTCTGCCTCAAGTTCTCTTCCTAAATTAGCCAATATCATCAGTTCCAGTGCCTGAATCTCCTTGCAAGTAGTTCGTGCTTATACAGACACATCTCTACAAACAGTAGCATTTTCTGTATTTTGTTGTGCACTTAGAATTATCTCTTCAGTGGTGCATCCAGCAGGCCTCACATAGATCTAAATTCTCTTTTATAGGGAGGAAGAGATGTCCACAGTGATTTTTTTCCTTCCCACCCTAACACTTTGGACTTCCACACATGTCCTATTTAGGATAAAGAGCTGAGTGAGAGATCTCAAGGTATCTGAATATTTCCACAGGTTGGCAGAGAGCATCACCTATAACATAGGTTGCCCAAAATCTGCATTACCCCAAATCTGAGCATCTGAACTGGACTTCGGAGAGTTATCCCAATGTGCATCTAAGTGTGTGGAGCAAAAGGTGGGTACTCCACAGACCAGTTACCAGCAAGCGAGGCAAACAAGTGACACTGATTTTTTTTTTTATAAAGTGGTTGTATAATCACAAATTAGCTTCTTCTATTTTTTAAGTGACATATAGGAGGCTTTCAGGTTTATCAGCTTCATTATGGGCTAGGGAAAGCATCTAAAAAGTATTTTCAAATTTTCCCGTGGAAATATACTTTTATATAGAAAAGTCATGTTTTCCATGCAAAAAATGCATCATGACTTTTCCAGCAACCTAATATTTCTAAACCACCAGGTCACTGAAACAGAAATTACATTTCAACTCACAGCATGGAGGTGGAAGATGGTGACAGTGGGGGACAGTTACAGGAGAGGATACCCCCAATTGAATATGAGAGGCGAGATGAAATTTTACTGTATTTTTTAACACTAATACAATTTGAAGTTTTCACATTGTTTCAAAGCTAGCCAGAAGCATATTGGAATGTGAGATTTATGTTCTTTTCAAATGAAATGATTTATCACTGGTCATTCAAACAGTAAGTCTCTCTCTCTCTCTCTCTCTCTCTTTTTTTTTTGTATTAACAACATATGGCAACAACTGTCTTCTGTTTTACTTTATAACAATTCTAGCCTGGCTCTTCCAGTATCATTTCTCTGAAAGGTTCCTTTTAATCTCTCTCTAAACTGGTAGCCTAGGAATACTAAAACCTACCAGAAAGCATGTAGCTTACTTCATAGAACGCCAGCAATACTCCTAGCACTGGACTATGCAAATAGGTCCCCCCAAGATGTTCAGAATAGGTCTCCCCAAGATGTGCCCTATTACATGTGGATTATTACCAGCTGAGGTCAAGTAAGGTTCTACAGGTGCGTGATACTCTTACCCCTTTCTTTACTATCTAGAAAAATAAAATTTGGGGGTCTTATCCACATTAGGGTTATATCAGAAATAATATTTGTATCTACAAAAACCTACCTATCTGGTAGGCAAACATTCAATTACAGAATATTTAGCCTTGGTCACACATGTCGCTATGCCTTTTTCTCCTCCTGATGTGTTTTACATTAATTTGATTATTGGAGCATTTCAAGAAGAACCCACAAGGCTGGGAGGAAATTTCTCCTCCTGTCTGAAAGCTATTTCAGGTGAAACTATTCAAGTTTAAAAGCCACCTGAAAGCTTCTTTAAATTCACAGGGAGGAGTCTAGCCAAACTCTCTTTACAGGAAAAGATGTAGGTTGTCCATGGGCAGTTCTGAGTGCAAGAGAGTTTTTGCCACTTCAGTAAAACCATAAAATATTCTCTTCATTTAGTAACGGCTGTTTTAAGTGGCTTTACACAAACAGAAATAGGAACAAAGCACACAGCTCAAATTTCTTTGCCTGATTTAGGTATTAATGATTTAAAATTGCTTCTTTTTAAAAGGTCTTGTGGGGACGGATCCCCAGAAAGCTTAATAAATTTAAATTCCAGGAAGTAATGGGCACGTTTCTTTCCGGTGCTGGCCCTACCCAAGCTCTTAAAAGTTTTCTGGGTCTTCTGTGAGTTTTCTCAACCTCAGGAAGCCATGGTTGTGAATGTCCCTGTCTCAGTTATTTGAAAGAACGATGAGTAAATGTGGTCACTGTCCATGTCCCCTCAAACCTTAAGAAACAGAAACTTTCCAAGGGTGCACTTTTGGCTGTTTTGAGTCTGAAGGCCCATTATTTCTAAACAGTTATCAGAGGAAGAAAACCATCACTGAGACTGGATTCAGGGGCAAATGGAAGGCTTATCAAAGTCTCATTTTGCCTCATCTAGTAAACCAAGTAGGTCATTTTATGGAAAAGAGAAAAATGGAATCATCTTCAGCATCATGAGTTTTAGCAACTGCTCTCTTCCCTCAGCATCATCAGTAAAGCCTCTTTCAATGGTCCTTTGCTGTTTATAAAGTGTTTTCACACCTGCATGTTAAAGGTTAAAGGCCAGAAACTCCTGTACTGATACAATTTTATAGTATGAGTTTACTGCCATGGTCAAAGTGTATTTATCTTATTCTTCCATCTGCTTTCCTCTCTACCACAAGACACTCTGGCGGTTTTTATTTCAGAGCTGAAATAATAAATGTTGATGGTTAACCAACAAAATTGCACCTTTACAGGAACCTGCCTCACTTGCCTGCACCTCCTTTATTTGTGTTTATGGTTCCTGGTTATAAGTAACGGGGTGTGGGGGGAGCCACAACTTAACCTCTCACTCAACCACTTTATCAGGTGGGGGAGGAGACAGCTTCATTTGGTTGCCAGTGGAACAAGCAACTCGCCTGAGGCCCAGGGCAGATGCCAGAGAAGACTGGCCCCCACCTGACACCCCGCAGATCTGGGGGGCGATTTCCCGGGGGCGCGAGGTGAGTGGGCCAGTAGCTCAGCCCTCTTCCAAATCCTTTTTCTCCTTCCCCAGCCTCTGGCTTCTACCTCCTTCTATGCAACCACTGCATAGAAGGTTCACTCCCAACCTTCTCCCAGAGGCAGAAAAGTCGCATGGCTGGTGGAGGGCGAACCCCGAGACTCCCCAGAGGCGGCCTATGTCCACCGCAGCGCACCTGAGCCCGGGCGGCCCGCACGAGCCCCGCGTCGGTGGCCTGGGGGGCGCCGGGGTTGTGGGGACAGCTGGGGGGGGGTCAGTTAAGGCGTGTGGGCGCCGGCTGACCGGAGCCCGACGTGCACGCGGGCTCCGGGCCTCAGTTTACCCGCCTGCAAGGGGCTACTGGGGGGCCTGGCTCTCCGCTAGGGCGCAGGGGGCACAGCGGGGCTCGCCCTCGGCTCGCGGGGTGGACAGGGAGGTGTGCAGCGCGCGGCGGGCCTCCCCCACTGCCCGCACCCCGCCCTCAGGGCGGCACTGTTGGGGGCGGGGGTGGGGCCCCCCTCGAGGTCGAAGCGCCTCGTTTCCCTTTTCCAAACCTACCTCGCCAGGCACATGCCCCAGCCCCGCGCGGGGAGGCTCCGGAGCCGGCGCGCCGGGCGGGGGCCGGGCTTCTGGGCAGAGACTGGGCGTCGGGGCCGGGGCGGGCCGGGCCGGGCGGAGTCCGGGGGCGTCGCGCGCTGGAAGCCGGGGCGGGGGCGCGCCCGGAGCAGCGCAGGTCGCGCGCGCGCCAGGACCCGGACCCGAAGCCGCTGCGCCCCGGCCCGAGGAGCCTGCGCCCCCGCCCGGGCCTCTCTCGGCGGTGCCTGCGCGCGGCGGGCGGCGCGGGGGCCGGTCCCGACCCGGAGTCGCCGCGGGAGCCGCGCGCGGAGCCGGGAAAGCGAGGCCGCCCTGGAGCGCGCGGACGCGGCCCCGAGGTACCCGCCCGGCCGCGGCCTGGGGTGAGGGGCGCTGGCCCTTCTTGGTCTCCCCGAGAGGGAGGTGTTGTCTGGGAGGCTGGTGCAGAGCTCACCCCTCGCGCGCCCGCGGGTTGGGGCGCAGCCGACTCTCCAAAACTCCACGCGGCGGGGCGCACTTTAGAGTCACTGGCAGACTTGCCGATGGGGGCCGGGCGCAGCCCTGAAGGGAGATGCTGGGTTTCTTTAGTTTTAGGTTCTTTGCAAGGTGTTTTTTTTTTTTTTGGTTTGGTTTTGTTTTTAATTCAGTAAACCAAAAAAATCCCACTGCACCAGGAGGGCGCACTGGCTTGCGCGGGAAGCCCCTCCCCGTGACCCCGCTGAGTTCCTCTTGCTTCATCCTCGGTTCCTCAGGAAATTATAGTAATCCGTTGTTTTCTGGGACTTTCCCAGATTAACAGGACGAATTTGATTTAAAGGAGGAATTTCCCAGCCCTCAGGAAGCCGGACCCCGCGCAGACCCCTGCAGCGGATCCTGCTCCCCAGGACTCGTGGGTTCCATCGGGTGCAGGTCACCTTGGAGAGTGGGAGGAAGAAGACACCGTCTCGAGCAAATCCGAACTTCCCGCAGGTTCTCCTGCAGCTGCTTTTGGATTTCGGCTGCTTTTGCAAGACCTGTTATTTCGGTGAGTGTGGCCTCGGGCGATGGCTGGGGGCGGTGACAAATGTCCCCAAAGCCCTGCTGCAGGGTGGTGACCCTTGAGGGGGTTGGGAAGATAGCAGTGTCTTTTGCTGCTTTTCCAAGTTTTCCTTCCCTTATCTGGGAGTTTTATTTCGTCAGGGAGAAAAGTCTGTGATTAAAAAAAAAAAAAAAAAAGCAAATGTCCTTTTTGCAACAAGGCAAAGATTCCTTCTTAAATATATCCATAGGGTGGGGAGAGGGACTAGAGGTAAAAGTACAGATTTCAGGGGCATTCCTTCCTTCACACACCACGGAGAACAAATCCCATTATTACAGATGACCTTGCTTTAAAAAACAAAACGAAACCTTGGCGATGTGCATGACCACCCAGGGGTGCCAACTTTCTGTTAAACTGTTTGGACACCTGGCTCCTTTTAGCAAAAAATAGCTCTGAAATTGTGTTGGTAGCAGTTGAAGGCCATGCTGCCTGCTGCAAGGTGCAAAGAGTATGTCTCTTGGCTGGCTTTGCAGGACCCAGGGGGGTAACTGGTGTGTGTGGGCATGTGTGTGTGTGTCTGTGTTGGTGTGTGATGGGTGGGGGTGTGAGCAGCGGTGGAGACCGTGATTTGGCAAATAATTCCTCTGCCCTTTGCCAAACTTCTTTCCTTTGCATGGACTCTCTTAACCCCCATCTGAAGACACTCCACTTCCCAGCTCTGAGACTTCCAGGTAAAACTTCTAGGACTTTCTTCTGTTGAACACATAAGAGGTTAACTCCGCTGACAACACCCGGTTCGTGCCTTCTGTGTTATGCTCTCTGTGCTAAAGTTCTCGATAGCAGAATTGATTTTCATTACTAACTTTATTCACCTATTGCTCGCCATTCATTGAACACAGACATCATCACAGTGCTGTGCAAGTGTCTTTGTCATATATCACACTTTACCACTGGTCATGGTACTAATCTCCAGCTCCATTTAACTCCATAAATATTAGGTGGTTTGTGATTCTGTAATGAAAATATCTGTTAAATGTTTGAATAGATATTAAGTGCATGTGGTAAAAAATTCCAAAGGGATGGGTGCAGTAAAAAGTCACCTGTTAACCCCAAAGGACAAGTTTCCTTCTCCAGAGGTAACCCACTGTTACCCCTGCATCAGCTCCTTGATCTTCTGGGTTTTTTTTTTTTTTGAGTTTGTCAGATTTCACAAAGCTGCTTCTGACCACCTGCATGCTCTTGATTTTTTTTAAAAAACATAGGTTTTGCCACTTTTATGTTTTTTGTTAGTTTCTGTGTTCTCTTTTTCCACCTATTACTCTGAGTCAGAAATACAGGCCACTTCACAGAGGGACCTTACAGTCCTGGAAATTAATGAATAGCCTAGTTTCTAAGTCTTTGAGGTTAGAGACCATGATTTATTCAACTTTGGAGTTCCCCAAACAACTTACCAGAATTAACAGGAGGTATTAGGTAGATACTGATGCCAGGATGAAAGTTTACTGTACTTGGGTCACCTGGTCCTCAGAGCTTCTTCCTCATGAGGAAGGGGTGTTTTCACACCAGCACCAGAGGCCAGGTGGCTGCCCTGCTGGTTCCAGCACACACCTCTTTGTGCCTCTTCCTTAGAGGTAAACTACTCTCGTATCTAACAGGAGCAAACTGCTTTTCTTTGAATCCTATTCAACTCTCTCTACCGTGAAGAGGTGATTCACTGGGTCATTAGATCAGATAGTATGTGTGAAGAACTGACATGCTGCCTGGCACAAGATGGGTATATGGTGGCCAGTAAGCTGTCAAATGGGTGATGCTTCTGTCAGCTCAGGCTGCTCCGTGGTCCTGTAAGAAAAGCTTAACGGGAAAATTTGATTTTTTACCCATAGGTCTTGTTCTTTATGACTGTCTTTGGCTCTTGCTTCTAGGGCCCAGGCTGAACCGTGTCTTCTGGGGACCACCTTTGTGGCACACGGAAAGTAGAAAAGTGAACTGCACAGTAGTTCTTAAAGCTTCTGCTTAGAAATTGGCTGCCATGTCACCCCCATTCACATTTCATTGACATGGCGAAAAGTGTCATTTTTCTAAAGGGCAGACCCAGTAGGTGTAGACCTGTGAGGAGGGCCAGCACGTATTTGACAGTAATATAGCCATCTCCGTAGGCGTGGCTAATTGAGGATTGATTGACTCACACCAAGAACGCCCTGATTCACAAACCAGAATGTGGCCCTTACAGTGGGGACTGTGTCTACCCTAGTACTGCACGTGGATCCTGTTTGGGACAAACTTTTCTTGTTGGTGGATTTTCTCAAAAGACTGAATTCTAAGCTGATGACTATATAAAGAACACAGAATATATTTTGGTTATTACCAAAAGACTATATCCAGATATACTGTGGTTTTTTTGATCCACTTCTCCTTTGGAAACTGTCCTTGTCCCAAGTCCAGGAATCAGCTGGGAGGAGAGCCTTGTGTCTGAGGCAAGGCTCCTGTTACAGCAGACTCTCACTCTTTCTGTAGGCTCTTTGCGTCTTTTTTTTTTTTTTTTGGTTCTTTTTTTTAAAGATTTATTTTTATTTACTTATGCATACAAGAACTGGTGTAGGCCAGAGGTGTGTGGGAGGGGAGAAGGGTGAGAGGATTCACCAGAGACAGAGTGGGGAGCAGAACAGGCAGATCTACTGAAATCCACTGCTGAGGGGAGCAGCGGGCGAGTCAGGAGAGGTCTGCTGAGCCATGTGGGTAGCTCCCTGGCTGGGGATCGAACTCGTGCTGCAGTGGCTACAGATTGCTTCATAGCGCTGAGACTTAATCCCTTGAAATTAGTTCTTAAAGGTCAGTTCTGTATGAAAATAACCTCTCAAAAATGTTAGCCACACATTCTCCTGTCTTGCTATGCTCCTTTACCCTACTGATGTGGAGGTGGAGGGCATCGCAGGGCCAGTAGGGCCAGGGCCTGGAGAGGAATGTGGTTAATGGCAGTTAGGCTGTGCTCTTTGTGGCTAATGACTGCTTATCCAGTCATCAGGAACCACTGACAAAAATAAATAATCCTCATAGTACAGACTGTATTTAGAAGTACCTCTTACAGACTTTTTATTTTTTTTTTTTAAATCTAACTTTATTTATTTTTTTTAGATTTTATTTATTTATTTTTACAAGCACTGGGTACAGCCAGAAGCGTGGAAGGGTGAGAGAATTCACCAGAGCCAGAGCGGGGAGCAGAACAGGCAGACTGACGAAGTACACTGCTGAGGGGAGCAGTGGGCAGCAGGAGAGATCTGTGCGCCATGTGGGACCCTCGCCCAGCGGCTGGGGATTGAACCTGCTCTGCTGAGGCTGCGGGCAGCTTTGCAACCCAGCGCTCAACTGCTGCGCCACTGGGGAGGCCCTTACAGACTTTTTAAACTGTATCTAATGTTCAACTTTAAATATTATAAAATAGGGCCTCCTGGTGGCTGATGGGTTAAGTCTCAGCGCTATCACTGCTATGGCCTGAGTTGATCCCCAGCCAGGGAGGTGACCCACATGGCGAAGCAGACCTCTCCTCTCTCACGCACTGCTCCCTTCAGCAGTGTACTTCAGTCAATCTGCCTGTTCTGTTCCCTGATCTGTTTCTGGTGAATGCTCTCCCTGCCCCTGCCCCCCACCTTTGGCCTACACCTCAGTTCTTATATACATAAATAAAAAGAAATCTTTTTAAAAATTTTAAAATAGTAATAGCATTTACTATTTTAAACTTTCTACTCACAGTCTAAGTGAGGATCTTATATCAACAACACTTAGATGTTGCATTTATTTGCTTTTAACTTTTATTATTTCTTTAATCAGGTTTCCCAACTCAAGATCTATTTCTAATGTAGTTAATAAACTGTAGGTTTTCTTTGTGTATATATTCCCTGAGGCCATTCAAACCAAAGAGACTATTCTTGATTTTCTTTTTTTTTTTATTTAAAGATTTATTTATTTTTGCATACAAGAGCGGGGGTGCAGGCCATAGGTGTTGGGGTGAGAGGATTCACCAGAGATGGAGTGGGGAGCAGAACAGGCAGAGTGACTGAAATACATTGCTGAGGGGAGCAGTGGGCGAGACAGGAGAGGTCTGCTGTGCCATGTGGGTCAGCTCCCTGGCTGGGGATAGCTTCACAGTGCTGAGACTTAACCCCTTCCACCACAAGAAGGCCCTGATTTTCTATTTAAAGTACAGCTGTCATATTTTGTCTGGACCCAAATCACTTTTTAAATGAGAAAGGATCTGAGGTTTCTTTATGCTCCCCTCCCTCCAAATCCCTTTATTAACAATTATCTTGTTATTATTGCCCATATTATAGGTATGACCTTAGAGTCAAATTAGAAATGAAAATTAAACAGCAAAGGTGAAATTCTAGTTCTCATAGGTCTTAGCTTAGAATTTCATGTATCTACTGCTTAAGGGAAAGTATTCTCTTTATGTATTGCTTTCAGTAAGTCTAAACAAGTCACCTATCAGAAGGTTCCGAAAATGCAGTCTCAGTGCTGAAGTATGGGGGTGAATTCACAGGTTGCTTTGATTGTTGCAGGCGGATCAGAGACAGTTGCACACAATGTCCTATTTCGAAGACGCTGACACAGAAGAAACTGTAACTTGTCTTCAGATGACAGTTTACCATCCTGGCCAGCAGAAGAGTGGAATATTCCAATCAATAAGATTTTATAACCGAGAGAAGCTTCCCTCCAGTGAAGTGGTGAAATTTGGCCGAAATTCCAACATCTGTCATTATACCTTTCAGGACAAGCAGGTTTCCCGAGTTCAGTTCTCTCTGCAGCTTTTTAAAAAGTTTGACAGCTCAGTTCTCTCTTTTGAAATTAAAAACATGAGCAAGAAGACCAGTCTGATCGTGGACAATAAGGAGCTGGGCTACCTCAATAAGATGGACCTGCCGTACAGGTGCATGGTCAGATTTGGCGAGTACCAGTTCCTGATAGAGAAGGAAGATGGGGAATCGTTGGAATTTTTTGAGACTCAGTTTATTTTGTCGCCAAGGTCACTCTCTCAAGAAAACGACTGGCCACCACAGATGCCCGTGCCTGAGTATGGTAGTTATTCATCCTGTTCCACCCAAACCACTTCTCCTACAGAAATAGATGAAAATGAATTCTGAACCCAGAGGACTAAAGAGAATAATGAAGGATGAAGTTCTCTGCAGATACTTTATAGACATGCCTCTGCTGAAGTTTCTCAGCATTGGTTGTATTGTCAGATCTGGACCTGGTATTACCATTTTGAAGTCTGTAAGTGGGGCCAGCCTTAGTCACCTGTTGCATCCATAGAGGTATAAAAAGCTATTTTGTGTACATGTGTGAGGGTTAATGCACAAAAAACATCCTCTGTGGTATACTAATAGTTTTCAGAGTGTTTTCTTTTTATGTGTGGTTCTAATCCTGTTTTCGTCAGGGATCATCTCTGACCTGGTCATGTCATTTCACAGCAGCCATTTGTTTTCAGGGTCAAGGTCACAGGTGTATTGTCAGTGTGTCCGTAGCTGTTAAGCTTGTAGTACGAGAGTACTAGGTGCATTGTGCGGTCTTAATATGGGAAAACTTACTTGAGAAGTAGTACCCTGATTTTCTGTGATTTCTTTCTATAGTGATGGAATGTTTATTCCCGAGAGCACAGTTCTCCTTGTATATATCCAGCATCTAAAACCATTATTTTAAAGAAACACTGTGTTGAGCTTCAAGTTGTTTTTCATTTTTATTAAAAAAATTATTTTTTTAAATGTATGTCACAAATTTTAATTCCAAGAATTCAGATTTTTAATAGCTTCCAGGTATAAAGTCAAAGTTTAATTCTCTTTTCCATTTTCTTTGAAATGCTCTCTGAAGACCTGTCTGACTGCATTGTACCATTAAACATTTACAATAAATGCTTAAATACTTTTAAGGCAGATTTTATGTCCAAAACTGTTGCCCTCATTTAAGACTTACATGCAGCTCACTTTAACCGGGTAATTACTGAGTGTTAAATAATGATAAATAGTTTTGCTCAATTTTTTCCTGCATAAAAAGTCCTTTTTTAAAAAAAATATGCAGTTTAACAGCTTTTCTAAACTATATTTTGTAAATTCTGGCACCTCTTATTAAGACATTACTAAACCTTTGTTTTTGATTCAGGCCATCAGTCCAGGCTTACCTCCACACTAATATGTGGCACCAACATCTGTGTCTTCACTTCCTCCATCTAGGACTTCCGGGATATAGTAATTGTGCTTATGAAAATGCTGGAAAGATCGTCTCACTTCTTATGTCCATTTCTTTTTTCTCCTGGTTCCTCGCTGGTGGAGTCATGGCCCACCAAAAGATGTCCATGTGCTAATCTCCAGAACCTGTGACTGCTATTATAAGGCAAAGGAGAAAGCTGTAGCTGTAGAATGAAAGTAAGGCAGCTAATCAGTTGGCCTTCTAATAGAGATGATCTGGATGACCCAGTGAATCATAGTGGTCCTCAAAAAGTAGAAGAGGCAGAACAGGATGCCCGCAGCATGCAGTGTGAGGATTCCACCAGCTGCTGGTGGCTCTGAAGATGGAGGGTCCCTGAGCCAAGGATGTGGGGGACATCTTTAAGCTGGACAGGGAAATCTCCAGAAAGGAACGCAGCCACATCGACACTCCGAATTCGGTGAGCGCTGCCTTGAACTTGTAACCTATAGAACTTCATGATAAATTTGTGTTGTTGCAAACCACTCAACTGTACAAATTTATTACAGAAAACTAGTATGTTCCTGTGACCTGAGGGCATCTGTCTTTCTTACAACTATCAATGAAATTTCTTTATTATATCCTCTTTTTGTGGGATTGTAGCTTCCTGTCTGATGTAGGTTTACAACTTGTTGGACTTGCTCCTGGAACAGTCTCATGGTAAAGACTGATGAGTCAAGTGTATACACTTTCATGTGTGCACCCTGTCACATTCTGACCATTGTAAAAGATTTTGTTACCTGATTGCTATTTCTTGACTTTGAGAATGATGGATGAGTTGCTAAGCTACAAAGTTTAAATATGAAGGAAATCAGGTATCACTGTTATTGAACCCAAACAAAGTATTGGATGGCATTTACATTGCAAATACTGTCAAGTTTAGTTTTAGCTGCTTTACTAATTTGCTACTCTGTTTTGTCTTCACAGCAGATTTAATAAAATAATTTGTAAGTCAGAATTGTATGTTTATGGAGTAAAGAGTAAGAAGTCACTATATTTAAATGTAAAAATGTGTTTATTCACAATCCTTGAGAAGTTACCATTCCTTCAAAAAATTCTTTATGAACAAAATGCCAAGAAAAATTACAATAGTAGCTAATGCCAAACCAAAAATATACATCTGATGTATACAAACTTTAAAAAGCATAACACAGGCAGTGTGAATATAGATTACCTTGAAAATATTTCCAGGGACACAGCTACAAGGTATAATTATGTTAAGACAGACATAAATAGCATGACCTAATATATTTACACATTTGAAGTGTCATATATTTATTTCTATGAGATAAAAAAGGAAACTATAAATGTCATTGCCTAGCAGTTCAAATATTGGAAAGGGCCACATGATTTTTTTTAACTAAAGCAAGAACTTGAAGTTACTATTTATATATTTATATATATGGACCTTCCTATATTTTTGAGAACATGCACTGTCATTGTTGCAAGAAAAACAAAACCACTAAGAAAAAACTGAAAATTTTTGCTTACCAAAATCATACTCGATCCTCAGCAAAATCAAGATAAGCAATTAGGGACTATCTTATGTCCTTGGCTTTTTAAATTGATACATAAACTTGAGAGAAAAGAAGGGTTAACTGTATATCACAAAATGTAATTATACATATTGACAGACTTAGTTTCATCCCATTAAAGCACCTTGTATTACAAGGCAAAGGAAAGCTTAATAAAATCAATGAATCCTTTCAAACCAGAAAGGACTTATTTACTTTGAAATACCCGTATTAAAGCTTTTCAAGTTTTCCTTCCTCAATAGTCATGCACAGAGAATACGTTCTGTGTAAAGTCTTTCTAAGTCCATTTATTGGAAATACAGAATTAAAGAAGACATCTAGAGATCTGATATAGCAATTAGTGTCAATATTCCTTTATAGTGTCATGTAAAAGGAAGTGAAAAACCTAAGTGTATATATATATTTTCTTAAATATTACTTTTGATTACCAACTTTGTTTCCAAGCTCAGAGCTTATTTTATCATATCGTACCCTTTGTTCAGATTGACCAACATTATTATACTGGGCTATGCAACATGTCTAGAAAGAAACTGATACTTCAGCATTTTGTGAGTCCTCAAATTAACTGTGCTTACTATTAGGTAAAAAAATTAAATAAGTCACAGAAATAATGTTGGAAAAGGGAACACTATTTTGAAACAATATTGTAGTCCCTCCTAATGCTCCCTTCACGTCTGCTGAGAATTAACCAAAAGTGTCTTAATATTTTCATTGTTAGCTACTGAAATAGGATTAAGAAAGCATTTGAAGTGAAATTAATAAAATGTCTAAAAAGGGAAATGCTACAAATGATAAACAGGAATGCTATAAGGAGTTAAAGTAAATTTAATCGACAACATGACAGGATCATTAAAATGTTTTTTGGAAAACAGAAGGCAGATGATGAAATTGCACTTAATTCTGAAGCCATTTGATATACCCTTCCATTCCCACTGCTTTTTAAAAAGCATTTACAACAGTTTCTTACCTCCCTCTTTTCCAAAGTCTCAGCACAACCATTTATACATTCTAGTTGGTTTTTAACTTTTGGTCATAACCGGTAAGTAGGGTCACACAAGTCTACCCTATCGTTTCTGTGGATCTGCATCAGATGGCTTTGTGCCAGCATCAGACAGTTCTAATACAGGATTTACAAATCCAGAATACTCAGAATTGCCATTATCATCCATTTCGGCACTAACAAAATCATTCTCCCACTCCAGTCCGTTGGAGTCATCAGAAGCTGATGTAGGATTACTTCCGGTCTTCCTGCTGCTATACTTCAGTGCTGCCCGAAGAATGTCTTCCTCTGTTTTGGAGCGTTCTCTCATTGGAAGCATTCGATTCATTCCTACAATCGAGGCAGAGTTATTAGAAATCTCAGGGATTATTAAAAATCTATATTAAAACACTTCACAGTTTAGAACCTTAGACTTTATTTGTGAATTAACAACTTCAGGGCTATGGAGTCCTACTTAAATTTCTGGGATCTAATCCTGAAGTGTACCTAGATAAAAACATTACTACATACAAAAAGGAAGTTTTGATGCAACAATGATCATCTCAGGAGGTGAAATTTCTTAAGTGTCACAAACAATCAGAACAGACGCAGGACTTCAATGCTATTAAGTCTTATGTGAACAAGTGTGTCTGCCAAAGCCTACCCAACAAGGGAACAGTTTCATTTCTCAGATAATAACTAATGATAACATATACTTTTCCAGCACTTACTACATCCCAGTTAATGTTGTCTGCCCTTCACATATAGAGATTTACCCCTCAACAACTGTACCCTTCCACACAACACTATCATCAATCCCTCTTACAGAGCTCAACTATGTAAGGGGCAGGAGGGGATGATCTGCCCAGGGTCACACAGCTCAAGAAGAGGCAGAGCAAGAATCTGAATCTGGGCCTCTCCAGTGGCGCAGCAGGTTGAGCACAGTGCTGTGAAGCTGTCCACAGCCTCTGCAGCAAGGGTTCTATCCCCAGCCGGCCAGGGAGATACCCACATGGCGCGGCAGACCTCTCCTGCCTTGCCCACAGCTCCTCTCAGCAGTATCTTTGGTCCGTCTGCCTGTTCTGCTCCCCGCTCTGTCTCTGGTGAATCCTCTCACCCTCCCGCACTTCTGGCCTGTACCCTAGTTCTTGCATAAATAAATAAATCTTAAAAAAAAAAATCTGAATCTATTCAGTCTGACTCCAAAGTTTTCTCTCTGCCTGCACCACAACAGAGCAGAGATTTCTAGAACTATTCTATTTTTAAAAAAAGATTTATTTATTTATGCATACAAGAGCTGGGGTACAGGCCAGAGATGCAGTGGGTGAGAGGATTCACCAGACACAGAGCGGGATGCAGAACAGGTAGACTGACTGCTGAGGGGAGCAGCGGGCGAGACAAGAGAGGTCTGCTGCGCCATGTGGGTTGCTCCCTGGCCGGCTGGAGATCAAACTCATGCTGCACAGGCTGTGGATTGCTTCACAGTGCAGTGCTTAACCCCTTGCGCCACCAGGGAGGCCCTCTAGAACTATTCTAGATCTATTTTTGAATAATTAGAAATTGGTCAGTAAAGTGAAAATGTCAACAATCTTTTTTTTCAACTATCTCATTATAATGATTTTAATTCATTTATTCAAAATTTCAACCTGATAAGAGCATCCATTATTTAAATTAGTAGGTAAACAGCATCAACAAAACTGTAGCACTTAGTGTTAAAGATGATGTTGAAGTTTTGCAGATGGCACTTATAGCATTATGCCCTTTTCATTTTTTTTAAATCAGGGGATTCTGGGTTTCCCAGTAGCGCAGCGGGTTGAGCACAGCGCTGTGAACCCGCAGCCTCTGCAGCGCGGGTTCATTCCCGGGTCGGCCAGGGAGATTCCCACATGGTGTGGCAGACCTCTCCTGTCTCGCCCACTGCTCCCCTCAGCAGCGCTTCCAGTCCACCTGCCTGTTCTGCTCCCTGCTCTGTCTCTGGTGAATCCTTTCATCCTCCCGAGCCTCTGGCTTGTACCCCAGCTCTTGCATAAATAAATAAAATCTTTAAAATAAATAAATAAATCAGGGGATTCCTTGTTAGAAAATGTCAAAAACCGTGGAAGAAAACAATATAGTTTTCTTGACAGAAAGGAGGGAGGGAGGACAGAAAATAAATTTGAAGGTGTAAGTACAGAATCCACATGGTAAGAGAATTAAACCTAGGACTGGAAAAGATTATAAGAGAATACCCCTAGATGGAACCAACAGTTTTATTTTCTGACCATAATGAATCAGATCCCACAGTAGTAAAGGAACATTTATCTGTTTCACTGTTGTCTGTCACTCACAAAAAAATATCACAGACTCAACCCAGTAAAACAAGTTATCCCAACAGACAAGGTAAGAATGAGCTAGATGCTAAAACAATGTTGTGGCTTTATATTTGATAGATGAGCACTTTGTCTAAAGGAATCTGGACTCTCCATCTACCTACAAACAGGTTTTTCTTGTGGATTCTGGCCTCCACCTACTCTAGTCTCATCTTGAATAGTGACCTCACAAGTCATGCAAGTCAGGTTATCTCCAAACCTAGAGCATACAGTGTGGATGACAGAAGCAGAATGAAAAGGCCCGAAAGGCCCTCAGATCAAATTGAACAAGTTGTCAAAATAAAAATAAATTTAAAATTTGCTGACTGGATCAAATACACCATGATACATGTACAGTACTGGAGAAACAGTGTTTAGCTGGAGAAGACTTAAGTAAGGTAAAGTCTTTGGTAAAGTTATTCAAGTCTCCTATATATCTGTTTATTAATAAAACAAGTAGGTAGCTAGAAGCTAAGGTCTACTCTCTCAAGATTCTGAGATCAATGCTTATTATTCTTCTTAAAGTTTTACATTCTGTAATTGGTTCTCTCTTTTTGGATTACCTATTCTTAAAATGAAAACAAAAACCTGGGCCTGAATCAGTAAAATGTCCTTTACAAATAATACACATTTTTAAAAGGTAGAAGGAGGACAAATACTGGATGATTTCAGTCATATGTGGAATGAAAAAGAAAGAAAACAAACATAAGCAGCACAACTAAACCAAAACAAACTGTACAAGTATGGCTACAGAGCTGAGGTGCAGGTGGGAAATTCTAGCAGGAGGAGGGTCCCATGGACGGTGGTGGAAGATTATTGGTGCTTTGGTGGTGGGTGTTGTGTGGTCATATACATCTAAAGAGATGTGAATCTTTACTTCTAAATCATACAGTGTTATGGATCAATGTTATCTCAATAAAAAACGAAGCATTTAAAAAAATACATTTTAGCTACAATGTTGAATACTTGCTATGTGCTATGCTGTGTACTGGGTGTTTTGTAAAATTTTTTGTTTAATCCTCACAACATGCATATTTGTTTAAATATTTATTAATTGCCTATTGTGTGCCAGGCACTTTTGGATCCTGAGTACACTATTAATAATCACCCTTCAGGGCCTCCCTCGTGGCGCCGGGGTTTAAAACAGAGCTTTCAAGCTCTGTCACCAGCCACTGCGCACAAGTTCGATCCCCAGTCGGCCAAGAAGCAACCACCATGGTGCAGCAGACCTCTCCTGCCCCGACCCCTGTTCCCCTCAGCAGTGTGTTTCAGTAGATATGCCTGTTCTGCTCCCCAGTCTCTCTGGTGAATCCTCTCACACACACCGCCACCCTGCACCTCCAGTCTACACCCCAGTTCTTGTATGCATAAATAAATCTTTAAAAAAAATCATCCTTTCAAGTAGGTTTACATAATTTCTTTTTTGTGATGAACAAATGTGACGCAGAGTATGTATGAAGCACTACAGTCACGAAGACATACCGACTAAAACTCAAACTCATGTCTGTGTTACAGCTTTTGTGCTACCAAAAAAACCTAACAAGATGCTAATTTATAATGAACCAAAAGTTAACTAATTTTTAGCTTCAGACTGCCCACAAGGGGGCAGGAACTATTCGTACTGAGTAATAGTATAAACAGGATGACAAACACTTTAAAATGAGATATTAACATCTATTTTTTAATATCTCAAGAAATAATAAAAACTAAGCAACTTTCTAAACAATTTATCAATAAGTGATAACTACTTATATAGTCAGAGTCTAAGAAGTTTTCATTCTGAATTTTCAAGGCCCTGCATTCAGTTTAAATATAGTAAAACACCAAGCAGATTTCTATAAATTACCACAGATTAAATTTTTCAGGTAAAATTGTGAAATAAAGTACCTTCTTCATCTTCCCACTCTAGGTCTAAGGATGTGCTATCTTCATTTCCACTAGTTGACTTAGTTTTGGTCATTAAATCACAACTGCTTTCTGTATTTGGCGTCAAAACTGTGGCATCTGATGAAAGTCCTAGAAGACACAAAACACAATTAAATGTGCTCATCTGTCATCGTTTGCCACAACTATTTATTTTGTGATAATTGTTTCTCTCCAAATATTACTACTCTTCTTTTTTTTTTTTTACTACTCTTCTTAATATCACAAGAAACAATTACTGAACTCATTACATTGGTTAAGTTTCTACGAGGAGTAGTATGAAGGGTTTGTTCCTTGTATTTTTTTGCTAGCAAGCATAGTAGACATGCACACTGAAATGAATGACAAACATTTCAAATACAATGAACCCTAGCTAATGTTTTTAATAGCTAAGTACAAAGGAAAAGGAAAAAAAAAGAAAAATGACAAAGTAAATAAAAGGTTATCTCTAGTTCTAATGGAGCCACTACTATGTTTTGACTTTTGACACTTAAGAGGAAGAAACCTTTCGTTTTTATCCATCATCTTTTTAATATGCAAAATAAGTATACTTTTGTACAACTTCCTCCCACTTTCCCCTTCCATTTCTGGGAGGAAAAAAAGAAGGGATCAGAGTAGAAATGGGTAAAGTAGTACTTGACTCCCTCCCCAGATGTGCAGAAAGAAACTGTGGGGCCTCCCCGGTGGCGCAGAGGGTTGAGCGCAGCGCTGTGAAGCTGTCCACAGCCTCCGCAGCGCAGGTTTGATTCCCAGCCGGCCAGGGAGAATCCCACATGGTGCAGCAGACCTCTCCTGTCTTGCCCGCTGCTCCCCTCAGCAGTGTCTTCAGTCCGTCTGCCTGTACTGCTCCCCACTCTGTCTCTGGTGAGTCCTTTCACCCTATCGTGACTCTGGCCTGTATCCCAACTCTTGTATAAATAAAAATAAATCTTAAAAAAAAAAACCAAAAAAAAAAAAAAAAACCTGTGCTTCCTTCTTTGCTCCGATTTCTACTAAAAAAAGGAAAGATAATATTGTATAAGGGCTAGTTAATGAATTCATCTGGGCCACCCAACTGTAAAAGGCAGGGGGTTCTATAGAAACAGTGCCAAAACCTTCAATTTTCTGCTTTATGTGGCATGAAATAAACTTAAAATGTACACAAAATATTTTAAAAGACTTACTACTACTTCGAAAAACTTCATACTGTGACTTTATATTTCTCAAACAAGATTCAAAGTCATCTTCTGCTCCTGAACTGTAAAAAAAAAAAAAAAAAAAGTAAAATAATTATTTATATATTCATGGTTGATGCAGCATAATACAGGTTTAAGTGTGTGATGGCCTCTGGTCTCAGGATCGATCTACAACCAAAGTCTACCCAACACCCCTGAACAGTTAGAGACAACCCAGTGAAACAGGTTTTAATTTTCCTAATGTTAGCAATAAGCTAAAAATAGGAAGACTCCGGGAATCTCCAAAGTATTAACCATGAAGTCCAACTTTACAATCTGCAGTAATGGCAAACATGAACAAAGCTATCTGTATGACTAGCAAACACTCGTGCAAAGGGGACACTGAAATGTGTACCTCAAAACCTGACCACATAAAAACGTTATTGTAAGGAAAGAGGGGGTATGGAAAATGCAAACCACTCAGGCGCAAACAGTTGACCCAAGGGATTCAGTGAGTTTTTTTTGCACACTATGTAGAAGATCACTTTTTAAAATGCAGTAAAGTACCTTCCGTAAGAGGTGATCTCTTCCCAACATTAAGAGCAATGTTCTCAGTAATAAAACAAACCATGCTCTTGAAGAGAAATTTCCTTTGTTGTAACACATAAACATCAATATAGACACACAAACATCCAGAGGTGAGCTGCGTTCTCCTTGGAAAAGACACACTGTTTACCACAAAAGGAAGAAGTACGTTGACTATTTACCTGTGACAGTCTCCACTGTTGGAAGGATGGTATCGCTGCATGACTCTCTGTCTTTCTTGCTTTGGAAACATAATGCAATATAAAATCACTCTGTTGGAAGATTACATCTCTGAAATTATATTCATGCAGTGCCAGAGATATTTTTTTCTAGTTTCTAAAAAGGATATTTGATTGAAATCTTTTTTCTTAAATTCATCACTGTTTACTTCTACATTCAGTTATTTATGTGTAGGTAGTCTTACAATCTATCAGTGCATAGTCCTTAAGTAGCCAGAATATTCCAGGTGGTATTAAAAAAAAAGTTTAAAACAAACATGTATTGGTGTTTTCAGTATTCTTATTACACCTAAGAACATCCAGTAATGAGAAGGATCAGAAGAAATAAACTGTTAAAACACTCTATAAAGTTCTAATGTGGCTGAAGTAAGTAGCAACAAAGGACTTAGAAGAACCCTGACTAAGTTGACTCAAAAGTAGTAGTAACAATAAAAATACAAGCTCAGGAGACCTGTCAGAGTGGGGGCTTCCACAGGCCCCAGCCATATATCCTTGACACCCTGAATTACAGGTGCTATGACACTGCCCTCACCTCCAAACTCAGAGGGCAACTGCAAACATCGGGTGATATACATCTATGTATCTCTCTGAGTCCAGGTTTGGGGCGTCACCTCCATAAATGGCTTTGTGACCCTATACCCACTTAGGAAAGGAAAAATTCAGAGAACCCTGGAGAAAATCAGAAGCAAATGGAGGCTGCACAGGGATCACTTTTAGTCTTTAAAAGGAGAATTTATTACAGTAAAACAAGCTGTTTAAATTGTCACTATAAAACTTTCTTAGTAGAAGTATTTCTTAGAAGGTGAGATAATTTTTAAACACTCACTATTAGAACCGGAAAAAATAATAATACTTTGCATTCATTAAAAAAAAAGAACTAGAAAAAAGGCACTGCCTCGCACAATTTAATTGATCTGCTGAAACATCAAGAAAAGAATAGAGAGAGGAGGGAAGAAGGAAGAAAGGAAGGAAGAGAGAGAGAGGGAGGGAGAGAGAGAGGAAGGGAGAAAGGGCATGGGTCACATAGAAGTCACACAGCAATAGGACAGATGTGGTTTTTCGGTTTCTCTAAGTCACAGTGATTATCACGTGACATGATCTTTGCACACCTTCTGTTCACGCCACAGTAGTGAGGTTTTGCACGTGAAGTGTGGCTGCAGGGCACTGGCTCAGCATGGCTGTACTTGAACTCCAATGCTGCCATTTATGACGTGCAGGACGTCAAGCAAGTTACTTATCATAAGCGTCCCATGGGTTCCTCATCTATAAAATGAGGCTTAAAAAAAACACGGCCTCTCTTGTGTAACTGTTGTGAGGATTAAATAACGCAAAACACATAAACTACATAGAACAATTCCTGACACTTAGCCAGGACTCCAGAAATATCTGTTATTAGTAGCTGATATGATAATGCCGTATTAGTAATGGCAGGGCAAGATATTCTTCGACTTTTCGGATGATATGCTAAAGATTTCTCAAAATTCAAGCTCCCAATCTCCCAAAGATAAAAGAATAAAGATGAAAGATATACAGTATCTCTACAGGGCAAAGTCATCCAGTTTTCCTGATTCTAGAAAGTACAATTCAAGGACATGTCTAAAAGAAAAAATCAGAAAAACACAGTAAATACTGCGGTCGAAATTATATTTATTTATTTTAAGTTCCTTTAAAAAAAAAAAAGATTTATTTATTTATTTATTTATACAAGAACGGGGGTAGAAGCCAGATGTGCGGGAGGGTGAGAGGATTCACCAGAGACAGAGCGGGGAGCAGAATAGGTAGATGGACCGAAGACACTGCTGAGGGGAGCAGTGGGCGAGGCAAGAAAGGTCTGTCCTGCCATGTGTGTTTCTCCCTGGCCGGCGGGGAATTGAACCGGCTCTGCAGAGGCTGTGGACAGCTTTGCAGCGCAGTGCTCAACTGCTGCGCCACTGGGGAGGCCCCGAAGTTATATTTAAAGGCAAATTTGGCACTGCTTCCATCTCAGAGTATATTTATTTTTCCAAAAGAATATTGGATTTTTGAAAACTGAATTTAATCTTTGGGATAAACAAGACTTCGCTTCTGCTAATCTAAAGCTAACTGGCACTGTCACATGGAGCATATAATTTGATGTTATTTCTAACCCTTAAAACCCAATTAATCTGCCTTTAAAAATCCTAAATACATAGATAAATACACCTGTGGTTAAACAAGAAGCCCTCAATTCTAGGGGGAAAGCAAAGTCCCAACAAAGATCTGTCAGAGGAAATCAGGAGCAGAGAAGCCCTAATGTCTGCTGGGGTCTCCCCCTCACCTCCAGGAGCTTTCGCTGCTTTGCTGCCCTGGCTGCTTTACGCTGTTCAGCGTGTAAAGCTTCTTCTTCTAGTCTTAACTTCTCTTCTTGTAAGGCTAACTGTGCATGAACAAAACAATAAGGATTAACAAAAATCAGAACCTGTCTGACTGCTCTAAAGAGAAAATGATTTTCTACTTACCAAATAAAAAATAAATTATTTAAAAAAATAATTGACCTCTACACAGCATCTAAGAGAATTGAAATTTTTATGATTTCTCATTTCGATTTTCCCTCTCACAAAAGGACTCAAATGACCTCCACATATTACAGGATTCTTCAGAAGGTGAGTTATGAGGTAGCAGCATCCAATGTGTATAAATATGTTTCTCTCTTTGGAGCGTGCAGAGCTCTTCTTTCTCACCAATGCTCCCACAACTGTCATCCTGACTAGCCTGATGGTTCTGGCCCTCAATCCAGAATCTTCCGCACTAAGGCCCATCACACTGCTGTCAGCCAAAGTGAAATAAGCTTTCACAAAATTCATGTCTCTGATGTCTGTTGCAGACATCTCCTGAATCTGATTACTTGCAATCTGTTCAAAAATTACTTTCAAATTTAAGTTCCTGCCATTCGTAATGTTATATAGACTGCTTTCATGATGATATACCACATGTTAAAGCAAACTTAAAACTCAAATTTCAACAGAATGGTTTTCTTTAGCCTAACGTTAGCAATCTACTGCAGAATATTATAATTACTGGCCAATTCCCCATGTACATTAAAATAAAATATTTACGACTGTCTGAAGCACTACCTTTTGTTACTAAGCAAAAAATAAATGCAAGACAAACAAAAGCCTTGAAAAGACCCATTTATTTGTCAAACGGTAATTTTTTAAAGTTGGTTTTAAACACAAAGGTGCATGGGTCCTGCTGGTGTCCCTACTTGAGAATTAAAAAATTGTTTCTGTAAAATTGTATTGTATTTACTTCATTATGGGGGGCAACATGATTTCTAGTAAGTTAAACCAAACTAGAACTACTTATAATAAGTTCTAACTTGTTTACTTCTTAATAATTTTCATCTGTACATATCTAGATATAGGTCAATGCCTGTTCCTATAAAACATATTATTTAATACTAGAATTGATGATAAATGTAAGGGAAAGAACTTTCCCCTCTACATTAGCAGCTTTACAATAACAGATATAAAAGACGATCCACCTCCTTTTGAATTTTCATATCCAGATGTTTCTGTTTTTCAGCAATGGAATCATAATGCCTCTCTCTTAGGTCAATGATTTCTTCCTCGGTAAGAGGCCTATAGAGAAAAAGGAAAGGGGGAAAAAATAAAAAGAGGCTTCTGATGTCTGAATTAAAATAAAAAAACACATAAAACAAGTGAAAAACTGAAATTTTCACTGTCAAGATGTATTCATGCAATCTGATGCTGGTCCAGTTGTTAAGAGTGGAAGTACATTGTCACATGGGCTAAACCTTGGTAGAAAGTTGAATAAATAGACACATTGTTAGAGAATTCCTTGTACCACAACCACGATTTAAGAAATGTGAACTCCACCGGTCTTCACTCTGGCTCTGCTTCAGATATGTAACCAGACCCCAACGTCCATCAGAAGCTATAAGCTTCAGCACTGTACACCCTGACCTTGGCCCTCACTCACACCAGGACCCCATCTGTCCTGCTACGTCACTCTGACCACCCCAGGCCTTCCATCCAGGCCATGTCGTGCTGCCTCTCTGGCACGATCATCGCCTGACCTCACTTCTCTAACAGCCAATGTGACACGAGGGCTCTGGAACTACTTTCTGACTCACAGACACCTTCTCCCACTCCTATCACTGTGGCATTTCACCCAGGTCCCCCCGTCTGTGATCTTGCATTTTTCCATGATTAGCTTTCCCTGCTGAGAACTGCTGGAGAAAATCCAGCAACCACACTCAAGAGCACCCCACACTACCTCACATCCCACACTAACTACGTCAAAATCAAGCGCCACGTACTCTGAAGTTCCTCATTCAAAATCTCTCTCAAAAGGTTTCGCCTCACTCTGAGAAAGGCAGAGCATCCTCTTCTCAACTTCTTGCCACATCTCTCACTCATGTCTATTCTCTTGATTCTTCTCAGTCCTCTGAAGAGGAGCCATTCCCAAACATGTCCAAGGTTATGGGATACACTTACACTCTTATTCATCTGCCCACTCCAGAGAATTTTCTGAGGCACTGCTCCATCAATTTGAATCTCTCCTTCACTTTCAGTCTATTCTTTTTGTGTGTGTGTGTGTGTGTGTCTGTTTTCACCTCTCTTCCATGTGAAGGATGGACAGGAAAAAACGAAGGTAAGAAAGAAAACAGGAAAAACCTTCATCTGACTTGTTCTTATCTCTAGCTACTACTCCCTCATTCTCCATCTATTTCAATCAAAATTCCTAAATTAAATGCATAATATCAATATAGTTATGAAGAGTCAGATTCTACTCTTTTTGCTTTACTTGTATTAAAATAATTTTAATCTTCACAAAGCCCCTAGAATGAGATCTAGAGGGCCTCCTAGGTGGCACAAGGGAGTTAAAGTCTTAGCATTATCAAGCTATTTAGCCAGTCACTGTGGCATGAGTTCGATCCCTGGCCAGGGAGCTGACCCACAAGGCGCAGCAGAACTCTCCTGACTCACCTGCTGCTCCCCTCAGCAGTGTATTTCGTCAGTCTGCCTGTTCTGTTCCCCGCTCTGCCTCTGGTGAATCCTCTCATACCTCCCCCTACTCCCACTCTGCACCTCCGGCCTATACCCCAGTTCTTATATGCATAAATAAATAAAAATAAATCTTCAGGGAAAAAAGGAATAGAGATTACACATATGAGGAAAGTGAGACTATGTTGAGGTCAGTCACACAGTAAGCAGTGAAGTCAGACAGACTCACGGAGTCTTCTCCTGCCTTCTCTGTCCTTACCTGCCCCTTCACTCAACCTTTCCCTGGGGTCCACCTCTGCTTGCATCACTCAGTAATTGCAGCAAAAGTAATCGATGGCATCCATGTTGCCAAATACAACAGACAGCTGGACGTTCTAATGCTGGCGTCCCCTCTGCTCCCTCTCTTGGCCAGACGGTCTCCACCCCACCCTGGTTCCCCAAGTCCTCCTGATGGACACTTTGCCCACGCTGTTTGGCTTTCTTCAGATTCCCCTTCTGACTTTTCGGTTCTCAGATCCCTGCTCTCTTCACGCTCCAAATACCTCACTCCTCCTCATACCCACACTCAGGCCGGCAATCAATATGACCAAGGTTTAACCAGCCACACACATAGTAATGTCTCCTAGTTTTCTTCCTTTAGCCGTGACTTCTTTCCTGAGCCCCTCCTTTTTTTCTTTTCAGTTTTTCAAAATTAAATACAAATTTTAAGTGTCAGTTCATTAAGCTCTGACAACTCACGTAACTGTAAGAAACAGCCGTTCCATCACTGTGCAAACTCCCCCTTTGCATCTCTCTCTAGTCAGTTCTCCCACTCTGGTGGTGCAACTTCTGTCTGGACTGCTCTCCTTGGGAAAGTTACCACCAGCCAACCCTTCAAGTAACAATACCTGCGTCATCACCTTACAGAAGTCTATATGGACATATTTCCATTACAGATTTTGTGCAAAAGGCCTCTCCTTCCTAACAAGTTTTATAAGTGCTATTAAAATGTTTTTTCCCCCACATATTGAAACAGTCATCTCCAGGAACTAGCTCTCTGATCAGGACAATCTGTCTTGTAAAGTAGAGCTCATATCTAATTTTTTAATCCCTGTGTCTAGCACTGTACCTGACATGTAATAGTTGCTTAATAAATGTCTGCTAAATAAAAAGGTAAAGAACATACATACAAAATATGAAACAGTATATAAAAAGTCTCTTAATATGAACAATTCTCTTCTGAGTAAAAGATAGATGGTTCTTTTTCTAGTAGCTCGTGTAACTTTAAAACAATATGAAGAGGCTATTTAAATAGAATATCGCTGTTCTAGTTACTACAGAAAGATGTAAAAAACTTGTGAATAGTAAAACAAATTTTAGAATGTCATAAGGGAAAGATGGATAAAGTTTAAAATTTTTTAAAATGTATTTACCAACATTTAAATAGTTTAAAAAAAACTAAAAATACATAATCTAGGGTTAATTGGAAAACATCTGGATGCTTATGTACATTAAGTACTTTCATGTTCAAAATGGTATTTTGAAATATGTATAGTTTGCCTCCATCTTATGAAAGAGAAAAACTAAGGTCCTGAAATGCCTCAAAAGGAAGCTAAAGACGCAGCCTGGAAGCTTAGGGGGCTTCGCGTTCACACTGAAGTAGTGTTTGTTTTTAAAGTCTTACCTATGACTGCTTCCCGGGCTTTCCCCCTGTACAAAAATTAAACAATTAAAGAAATTTCACTACATGAATTCCATTTAAAACAAACCAATTAAGTTTTCATTTAGTCAAAATATTTTTGACTCATCTATTTTTATCCATGAATAAATTTCATTACTAAAGATGTAAACAAACAGCTTTAATATCTATTTCTCAAAGGCAAAATGTAGGTTACAACAGTGCTTATATTTATGACAAGCAATTTATGGACATTTCTTGTTTTTTTCTAACAGATATTTATTCCATACCAAATGTACCTCCAGGGTTGGACTGATAGTACTGTGTGGTCATTCTTAGACTTGTACTGAAGGAGAATACAGGGGTGTGCATTCAGAGGTGAGTTACAGTGCTGGTGGCTCTGAGTTCAAAGCTAATGGATCAATAATGTATGTGAAAATAAGGTGTCAGACAACATAAAACAAGGGCATACACTGATAAGTTTACAAAAAAACGTGATGAGAGGCTTGCAGGAACCTGACTCAGCGACAGTATTTGCTAATTCAGCATTTATGACTTTGCAGCAGCAAACTATCATGAATAATGAGAATCAACTGTATTTTCTTTTATAGGATTAGGGAATTACCTAGAGTTTTGTTCCCTCAAAGCAGACCATAATTATTTCCAAGATGTGGGTTCGTGTGTCTCTGTTACATGCTAAGTAACAGCAAGAAATGGTTCATACAAATTTAGGAAATAGCCCCACCAAACCAAATACAAACTATGACACAAAAGAGGGAATATAGTCCTGGTTAGCAAAAATGAAAACTTAAGAATTAAGCAAGCAGAAACTCAACCAAAAAGCACCTTAGGAACATACGCAGGACCACTAATTCTTTTAAAAAGCAGGTTGGAGCTGAGAGGAATGATGCTGAAGGCTGAAAGAACGCCTACATTTAGCATTTATTAGAGACCTTAAAAATAGCATGATAAGTGTTTGCTTGCACGTGTTTAAAAAATACAGAGAAATTAAAGTGACCTTTTGAAAAGGGAAAAAAACTAAGTCCTATGAAACATCAAAGTATTTGGGAGAAATTTTACTGGGAATACAAAAGGTCAAGACAGTTCCTCAAAGGTGTTTTACCAGATGACAATAAATATGCAATAATGCAATATTATTTTTAAAAAAAATTGATACTCAAATTAATCTGGAAATGCTGAGTTAAGCATGTTTAAATAATTTTCTTTAACAATAGATCTTTCAGATCAATAAGCTCATTTATACTTTTAGAATAAAATTCTGTCCAACACATGGAAATGCTGGGCTCAATAATAATATTTTTTGATGTTTCCCTCTTTCTTCAGAAAACAAAAAATAACAGAAGGTGAAATTTCTCAGTGATCCTCTAGTCTAATTCATCCTAAATATGTGAAAAGTTGGCCCAAAAGTGGTTAAATTTGCACAAACTCAAGAAATTAGTTTAGTGAAGTTGAAAACTAACAAACAAAATCTCTTCTAATGATGGCAGTACTTAAGAAATGCACATGCATTTCATTGATATTAAAATGTGCCTTTTGTTTTCCATATTTTAACATTTCTGTACGTGGCAGGCATCTTAAAATTGACTGATTTTTAGATGAGATTAAATGGAAAAAATTAACAAAAACAGTAACTGATAAAATAGAGGCTAAAGTCAAACATGAATTATAAATTGAACATCAATACACTCCACTCTTTAAAATTTCCACAACTGGGGCTAAAGAATGGGTCTACTCTAGATTGTGAATTTTACCTAATCAGTGGCAAAATAGCCTTTTTGAAAGTTCCTCGAGTTTTACGGGATGCTTTAAAAATCTGTTTCAATTAGTATATAACTATACACAGTATTACATATAATACAGTAAAGATTCTGAATTATATGATAAACAAATTAGTAAAAGAAATGAGTGAAAAGCAAAAATATAAAGCAAAAAACAATTCTAAATGGAAAGAAAAATTTTAGGAGTAATTGTCAGAACCAAAGAGATGACTGATGAGAACAAACATGGTAATACTTACTTCATCACTTTCTACTAGGTTCTCAAACTGAAAGAACAAGAAAGCAAGTGTTAGCAGGATGTCCAAGGTACAGAGCACTCATCAAAAGATCTAAGACTTTTTCACTTCAATAGCAATATACCTTGATATGTTAAAGATACATACATCAAGTGGTTTTTTATGTTAATTAGATATATTCAACAGTCCTACAAAATAACCAAAACAATCAATTTTTCTTTATGACTTGATAGGAGAAACAAGTAGAATTATAGCAATTTTCTACATAAATAAGAAACTGACAAGCTAAAACTTCCACGTGAATACAGTATTTTATATGGGTGTTTTAAAGCTACATTGAGAAGATTTTCTAAAGTTCAGGACAAATTACTGAATGTTCTGCAAAGGAAACTTTTCAAGGAACATGGATTAAATGATAGAAATAAGAATTTCTCTTATATTGTTTCTATCTATTCATCTATTTGCTCAGGTATGTTCGAAATCTACCAGTTCACAGTCACTACTCCCAAACACCGAGTCTCTCTAGAGGTAGGAATGTAAGCAAGTCAGTCACAACGTGAGGAATGCCATTATGCCCAAAGGACTAATGAAAATCATCATTACATTTTATTGTTATCTGTTTTAAATATGCTTTAACAAATAACCACTTGAAAGAAAGGAAAGTGTTTTATTGATAATAATGCCTTAAGATCAAGAAAACAATGAATTTAAAAGGTCTGGAAGATACAGCACTCTGAAAAGATGGCTTAGAGCGCTTTCAAAATACTATCTTGAGCTTATTTTTTGTATTGGCTTGTCCTACTTTTTAAAAATAATTTCTGGCTTACATGCTTTCTCATCTAATATAGAAGGCAGTACAGTACAAATGTAAAAACTTTGAAGTCAGTTTTGGAGTACAATTCAGGGTCTGCTACTTACAGGGTATATACTAAGCATAGTTTCTTCACCAGTCTAAGCCTCCACAAAACAAGGTGACTGCTAACAGGTAGTAGTGTAATAAAACTCATAAAGTTCTGGAGGAAAAGCCAGAAGCTAACAGAGACTGAGTAAATGCTATATTCCATTATTGTGTTTTACATACAAAGAAAAAGCACTCTGATTCTGCTATGGAGTTGCTTAGAATCAACCTCCTGCTTTGATTTGCTACACCTCTCTACTGGGGCAGGTCAACCCTCTGTCTGTAGAATCACTGCTCACTCAAGCAGTGTTAGTGACAGAAGAATACTCCCTATCTGAGTTGTGGAGAGTTGGAATAAAAAACCACCACTTCTTCAGTAGAAGTAACAATTTTATTCAAACAGCTCCAGAATCCTTTGCAAACTTGTCCTTATTTACCCTTCCCTCAACTACCCCATCCTTTCCCTCTTTACAAGCATCAGTAAGATGGAAATATAAACAGTGTATACTAAATTTAGGTCGAGATTCTTTCCTCTTAATTAAAGAAACACACACACAAAAAGCTCTCCTGCCCTCCAGAAGGAACTTCTAACATAATCAAATTCATGACTCTACTTACCTCTATAGTTAAATGCTCACCTCTTGAGCATGTCCTAAAATACTTGGATCTGGGAATAAAAACAGAAAAACAACTTTAAAAGTCACAATTCTAAAACTGATTTAACACAGTAGGATAAAAACACTTTCTCAAGAGCAACTTTAAATTCTCTAAAATAAAGTATCTCATAAGAAGGAACTACCAGGGCCTCCCCGGTGGCACAGCGGTTGAGCGCTGGGTTGCGAAGCTGCCCGCAGCCTCTGCAGCACCAGTTCGCTCCCCGGCTGCTCCTGGGCCACAGGAGGAGGGTCCTACATTGCTCGCAGACCTCTCCTGCCGCCCGCTGCTCCCCTCAGCAGTGTACTTTGGTCCTTCTGCCTGTTCTGCTCTCCACTCTGGCTCTGGTGAATTCTCTCACCCTCCCGCGCTTCTGACTGTACTCAGTGCTTGCATAAATAAATAAATATATCTTTAAAAAAAAAGTAAAATAGTGGTAGTTCAACAAAAGATATATTTTTTTAAAAAAAGGATAGAGGCCACTATGTTCAGAGGGCCATCTCTGGATGGCAGCATCTCCTCCCTTTTATTTGCTTGGAAGATGTTCTTTAACAACTACAGGAGGGCAAGTGGTGTATGTCAGAGCTACTCAGTATCTTCACTACTAGGTGCCAAGACATGATTAGACTTCACTTACAGTGTGGTTGCTGCTAGGGCTACCAAAAGTGGAGGAGAGGGCTCCCCCTCTCCCCATGGGGATCTAAAATCACACTGAGGGCTCCTAATGCGCCAGGATTCTTGCACAGAAAGCTGCTTTTTAAGAGACATGAAGAATCCCACGGTCAGGACAGGTCACAAGGCTCTGTATTAGATTTGTAAGTATGGAGGGAGGGGAGCGGACAGGCTTAGTGAATAACATATTAGCGTCACTAAATTTTAACATGAATAAAAAGAGCAATGAAACTCTTCTTCCTGGTATAACCTTTATCTGACAACACATGTGAAGCTGTTTTATTGCCCACTAGGAGATCATGGGTAAAATACAGAGGAGCTGGTATTGTCATTCCACAGATCTAATAATTCATGGGACATATCCAGTATAAACGGTGTCTTTAATTCTCTATGCATCCCTCGTCCCCTTTCTGTTACCCTCCCCATTCCCCAGGGCACACCAGAAAAGAGTCAAACACTGTGTTCTGGGGTAAGGACTGATGCTGAAAGGGTCTCAAGCGTCTCCCCCTGCAACCATCATACTCTCTCCCGAGTGGAGGCTGTCTCTCATTAATCTATTTCCCCTTTCAGACTTACTCAGTGGTATAACTGAATAATGAAATAAAGTTCAGTAGCACTAAGTATTTCTGCGAAGTCATCAGTATGACATCACTGTTGAAGCAAAGCCTAAAGCTAAGGGGTTCACCGTGCTCACTGAGAGGTAATTGTTCACTGTGACCCTACACGAGAGGGCAGAACGCTGTGTGCTGCCTGGGTATACATTACTCTATAGCTTCAGCAGAAACCCAAGGTGTTGTCTGTTACACACGTCTCCCACTTTCCTGTCCCTTGCATGCACATCTGACTGGTGACGATGATTGTGCTCCTGCAGGATGGACCCCCAGCTTCTGACCCTGCTAGACCACAGCCACCCGAGCCCTCATTTGATTGGTTCAGGGTGCTACGGAGGCTAAACAGACACAGCAGCTTCTGAGAGCTACAGGCCAGGAGTGGTGCTTCGGACAATAGTGAAGAGAGGAATGAAATCAATCGAATGAGTGCTGCGACAGCACTACCGTCCTCGCAGGGGCCGGGCTGCATCCCTACCCTCCCACAGCTCAGTACTCAACAAACTGAGTATCTTTATAAGAAATCCCAACTTCTGGGCCTCCCTGGTGGCACAGGCGGTTAAGCACAGCGCTGTGAAGCTGTCCGCAGCCTCAGCAGTGCTGGTTCGATCCCTGCCAGCCTTGGAGCAACCCACATGGCGAACAGACCTCTCCTGTCTCGCCCACTGCTCCCCTCAGCAGTATATTTCGGCCCGCCTGCCTGTGCTGCTCCCCGCCCTGTCTCTGGTGAATCCTTTCACCCTCCCGCGCATCTGGCCTGCACCCCGGCTCTTGTATAAATAAAATAAATCTTTGGGGGAAAACAAAAGAAATCCCAACTTCGGCCCAACATAGCTTGATTTCGGTTCCTGTCCCCACAACCAAAGTCTTGACTAACAAACAAGTCTAAGTGACAGAATGGCAAAAAAAGCTAATTAAAAAGAGGGCCCTGAGTGTATTATTATTAAAATGGAAGGTAAACAGAAAAGCAAAATAACTTTGGGAAAAAGCTCAACCTTCCCTTTTAAGACACATTAGATTGGCCCTTATTGTTCACAAAGGGCACGTATTGACTCCTAAAGCCACGGATGCTAAGATTATATTGACGGATTAAATACTCAATTTGGCAAACTCAGATATAACATTTTTATTAGAAGAGCTTTATCCAGGGAGGTACTGGAAAAGAAGTTGAGAACCACTGTGCATGTTTTAAAAGGAATGAGAGAGACAACCGCTTGAAAGGTAGCATTTCAGCGTCAGAGCCGTCCGTCACTCTAGCTGCAAGTGAAACAAATTAAATCCAAATCTTTGCATCATATTGGAAAGGCTTAAAGCTTCAGAAATCTGGAATACAAATCTCTTGGTGTCCCCTAATGAATAAACAAATGTTTTATGATTTTTACCGAACAGTTCTGTTCAATCCTGTCTTTCCTCCGAGGTGAGGAGGAGGGTGCAGGGAGGGGGAAGAAGGTAGAGGGAAAGGAGACACTTCTCCAATCAACGTGGAGCCAGGAATCCTGGTGAGGGCATCACAACTGCCCAGAAACAGCCAGCCACCTGCCACTTTGCAGCTAACACTCGTGAGGAGAGTAACAAGAAACATGCAGATAAATGCACCACGTGGTGACAGCTACTATGACAGAAATGCCTCAGAGTAACAAGACCAGCGCTATTGGGAGAGGGTGGTGATTTTATAGCCGGTGGTTGGCTGGAGAGGTCATTCTGCTAAAGCAAGATGGAACAAAGACCCCCGAGGAAATGACAGAGTCAGGTAGTGACGTAAGTGGAGGACACGAGGTCAAGCAGAGGGAAAACAAACACACAGGTTCTGAAGCAAAATGATGCTTGGCATATTCTAAAAAGCTGGGGTCCCCGACAGGCTGGAAAAGGAGATGAGGCCTGAGGGCTAGCCAGTGCCAGACCAGAACCGTGTGTAAGCTCTGGGAAGGAGGTTGCATTTTATTCTCAAGGAGAATTCACAGAAGAGGTTTCAGTCTTTGGCATTTACCTTTTTTGTTTTTAAAAAAAATCATGAAAAATTTCAAGTATGTAAAAAGTAGATGGAGTGATACCCACCACCCAGTTTAGAAAGTTACCATATTCCTGATCTTATTTGTACCAATCCCTCATTTTATTTTGGGAGAATATTTTTAAAGTTTTTATTAACTACATTTTTTTCCCCCTTACATCTTTATAGTCCCCATCATTCTCCCGCTTCACCAAGCAGAACATCATCTGTGAACCAGCACCATGTTCTGTTTTGGGAGAATATTTTAAAGTCAATCCAAGAAATGTTACCTTACCCTTTCTGCCATTTGCATCTCTAGTTGTTAAGAACCTTTTTTTAAAAAACCTAAACCACTTTGTCATTATCATACCTAGCAAAATAAAAAGTAATTTTATAATATTTCTCAGTCCATATTTCAATTTCCCTGATTATACTTTTACACATGACTCATTCAAACCAGAGTTCATACAAGGGCTACACCCTGCATTAGCTTAGGGGGCTTCTATCTGAAACAACCCGTCAGGTGAGATACCTTGTCTGTCTCATTGACCACTGTAACTTCAGAACTTAAAAACAGGACTGACGCCCTGGCTTGAGCACATGAATGACGGACACCAACGAGCCAGCACTCCACAGAGACAATACACAAACGTTCTGACACCTCCATTACTGCACTGCTGCCTATTTTCACCCATAACTGTATTTGCTTTTTGTCTCAACAATCTTCCTTTCACAGCTTTTCTCATGCCACTGATTTTGTTGAAGAAATACTGTCATTTGTTCTATAGAATTCTTCACTCCCAAGATTCGGCTGATTTTTTCCCCCTTTGGGTGTTAATTCTTTATTCTCTGTTTTCTACATACTGGCAATTTGATTATATTGAGTGAGATTTCTTTAGGTAAGAATTCTTCATATCCGGCAGTTGTAATGAATCAAATTATGAGGAACTCTGTTTTTGTTTGCACCACTTTTACTGACACTAAGATTGATCTGTAGGCTCAGGTATCCTCAGCCTATCCATCCATTATAAAGCTCCACATTAACCTTTTCCCAAATGGTTTACCATCCACTGACAATCAATGCTCAGCTCCATTATTACATTAAAGGATACAAAATCATGATTTTTCAATTCTACCTTTCCTTAAGAATTAGTGCTGTAAGAACTTTAAGGGGCAATGATACACCCCTGAAACACATAAATGTTATAACACATTGTTATTTCAACTTAAAAAAAAAAAAAAGGTGCTGAAGATTGTAAACAGATAGATGATCTGACATATTAAGAGGCCAGTTAGGACATTCTGAAATAGAACAACAAAGAAATGATATTACTTAGGATCACCAAGTAGAATTAATGAGAAGTAGTTCTGGGGGAGAAAAATGCTGCAGGAGTTGCCAATGTATTAACTTAGGAGTTCATGTAAAAAGTAAGAATCAAGGATGTCTCCTAAGTGTTTGGTCTGAACAACTTGAGGAGTGGAGACTGCCATTTATGGAGATGAAGAAGGCTGGAGAAGGAGCAGGTCTGTTTGTGGATGCCTTGCCCTTGACATCAAACAGTCAAGAGTCTGGGTGAGAGACCTCTTTTAAAGTTCCAAGTCTAGAGCATTATTATGAACATCAGTCCTGACGCCCCTCCAGTACTTTTCATAACTAACCCTGTGGCTATATCCCAATCTCTGATTACTCTTCTTTTCTTCCTTGACTTACACCCAATAAATTCTTCTTCTCATCCCAAGGAAGGT